GCCGGGGAGGGAAGATGGAGGGGAGCGAGACGGGAGGTGCATGGGTGCGGACGGGGCTGGGGAGGGAAGATGGAGGGGAGCGAGACGGGAGGCATGCGCCTCCATCTTCCCTCCCAAGCCCGTCCCCATCCATGCGCCTCCCGTCTCGCTCCGCTCCATCTTCCCTCCCACGCGCGCTCCCCTCCCTCCCAGGGAGCGAGACGGGGGGGAAGGAAGGGAGGGCCGCGAGACGGGAGGTGCATTGTGCATGGGTGTGGACGGGGCTGGACGGATGGTAGTTACGAGGACATGCTTGCACCACAAGCATCATTGCAGGCTGCTCCGGGTCAGTGCACAAGTAGAACGAAGCATGGGTGGGGGTAGTGCTGCTCCATGCTTCGCAGACAGGAAGGCGGAAGACGGGAGGTGCATGGGTGTGGACGGAGCTGTGGAAGGAAGAGGGAGGGGCGAGAGACGGGAGGTGCATGGGTGTGGACGGGGCGGTGGAGGGAAGATATATGGGCGCGAGACAGGAGGTGCGTGGGTGTGGACGGCTGTGGAAAGGAAGGGGCGCGAGACGGAGGAGCATGGGTGAGGAAGGGAGAGGCGGGAGACGGGAGGTGCATGGGTGTGGACGGGGCAGGGGAGGCAAGAGGGACGGGAGGTGCATGGAGGAGCCGTGGAAGGAAGGGGAGGCGCATGGGTGTGGACGGGGCGGTGGAGGGAAGGTGCTAAGTGGAACGCTTCGCGGCAGAACGTCGTTGTGTGAGTGGAGCGATCTTGCATGGGTGCACCACAAGCATCATTGCAGGCTGCTCCGGGTCAGACGAAGCATGGGTGGGGATAGTTCTGCTCCATGCTTCGCGGAAGCACGTTCTGACGCGAGGGGAGCTGTGTTGCAGGGCTTATATGATGGTCTTGGGTGTCCAAAATGTGCACAACGCATGCGCCAGACAGTCAAGTCATGGAGTCATGGCCAAAACGGCAGATTGGCTGCTCCACGCTTCCTGGAAGGGTTGTTAGAAGCGATGTTGCAATCGTTTTATGACCGTTTTGGAGGGCTTTCAAAATTGACCGAGGGACGGATGCGCACCAGAACCGCGATGCTTGAAATATCATGGTTGCCACGAAGCCTGGAGGGGGCTGATGCTTCGTTTTGGCCTGCTAATGTGTGTTTGTTTATTTTTCCTGGGTTGCGCGTTTCTTTTTGCTTTTGGGTCCGCGGGCTCACCTGTTTTTTGTTTGGTTAGGAGTCTGGTGTCTTTCAATCTCCAGGTTTTCAGCAGGATTCTGGGGAGCTTCCAACCGGTGGTTCATGTGAAAGCGACGCTAAGAGTCTGACCAGTCATGATAACGTCCCTGATATTTTTGGCCCCAAACATGACGACTAGCTTTTGTTGGTGCCAGCGCTTGTGTCATTTTTTTGAGGCCTTGTCTCGCCTCCCGTGTGCAACACTGGTTGTGATAGAGTCACGCTTGGTGCCCAAGGCACTGGGCTCTGCCCTGGGCCTTAGCAGAGTTCCTCGGCGCCCTCCTGGGGACCTACCTCTTTGCGGTGCTGCGCGCCAACGCGGAGGATGCGGGAGGGGGGGGCCGCGGAGAGCAGCGGGTGTGCAGCGGAGGAAAGGTGGGAACGTGAAAGAGACGGTGGAGGCCTCTCTAACGTGGAGGTCGATTCAGTCGGACCAAAGTGGGTTTCCCACTGGAGAAATCGACCCTGGATCGACCTTCAGAAAGGCAGCAACGGGCCTGTGTAAAGAATGATGTAGTTGGTCGCCCCAAATCCACTGAGCGCTGTGAATCTACTGGGGCCCTGCCCATGGATTACCAAGAGGAAAGACGGGGCATCAGTACTGGCTCGCAACTCTAAAACGTCACATGACACACCATTTAGAGTAGACGCATGTAGATTTCATGTTTTTTAAATCTTCAAGATTCATTCTCAGAGGGCCGGATGGTCCGGATGCAACATCTACTTGGACCTGTTGGCTTTGGGCTGCAGTTTTTTGAACCTGACCCACCCCATACCATTTTTTTGGACTCGCCTTAAAATCCACCCCTGATCTAGGCAAACCAGGTCTTTGCGCCTTTCTTCCATCCTGCTCCGCCGCTGCATCCGTCGTCCGTGGTGAGGACTTTTGTCAGGAGGAGTTCCTGGAGCTTTGCGCACCCCGTCGGTCAGCACGGCTCCTGGGCGAGCTGTGCCTGGGCAGATTGCGGGTTGTGGGTGAGCGTGCGGGTGCAGGTTTCAGTTTAGCGTGAGTTGGCAGTTGGTGGGAAGGGAACCAAAGATGAGAAAACGTCACTGGCATACCGCGCACCTCGTTTGCTCTAGAAGACGCTGCAAAGCTGCCCTTTCATGCCCTCTCACTGGATGGCCCAAAGTATGGAAACAAATGAGAGATGCAAAAACAGATCAAAAGAGGTGGAAGACTTGGCAAGTTGAGGAGCTCCTACTCTTGCCTGTACAGTATCCAACTACCTGGTCTCCGGAACGAACCATCCCAGCGATGAGATTACCAGGCCACCAGGAACCCTTGAAAGGGCAAGGGAAATGAGATCGAAGGGCTTTCCCAAATTTTTGGAGATGTGGCCAGTCAAATCAGAGGTACCAGACATACTCAGACATACTCGTGAGTGTGCATATTGCATTCTGCAAAATAAGTGAGTGTCGTGTGGAACTTCAAAGTTACTCCTTATGAAGGGTGACCCGCACTATCATCAGTCTTTTTTGCCTGTGGATATTCTTTGTACCTGAGAAACCTCCTGAAAGCACCACAATCCTTTGCTTCACCGGCAATCAGGATTGGCACCTTCACCTATGCCGCTCGTCCGCCAAATAGAGGACAGCCAGTCCTCTTTCGGGGCAAGACCGGGATAACGCCATTTAGACATGTCAATCGGGGGGGGGCTAGTGGCTTCCTCCCCGTGCTGTCTGGATTGGTCGGTAGAAAGTGCAGGAGACGTCCAAATGAACTGACTAAGCATGCCCACCGCGGACTCATTGAAGACCAATTTCCTTGTGCCAGTCTTTTGCATGCGTTTTCTATTACTGTACTGTTCTTTAAAGTAATTCATTCGCTGATTTGTTCACTATGTTTCAAGGATTGTCAAGGTCCAAGTCTGAAGTGCGTTGGATGTACCAAGTTTGGTGCAGAACGTCTTCAACTCATGGGCCGCTCCATGCGACCGCTCCCCGCTCCCAGGTGCTCACCTTTGGCTTGAACGCTGTCAGCTTGTCTGAGGCCGGCTTGATCGGACGCGCGGTGTTCACCGGTGAACAGGTTTTGGTGGATCCATCCCACCTGAGAAGGACGAATCTGACCCCTGAGATCCACAGACTGGAAGGAATGAGACACAGTAAACGTGAGTAGTAACCCTTCATGTCAAAGCCTCTCTTCTCATGCCCTGCATCCAGTTTCTCGAAAAAGAACCTGAAGCCCGTCGGACTGGTCTCGCATTTTCCAAGGCAACGGCGTGGTCCTGTGCCGGCGCGTTGATCAGCATGATCTACGCAGTGGGAGTCCTGGTGGAATTTCCGACGGATTTCGACGAGTCAGGTTCTTGGTCTACTATTTATGTGAGTGACTACACTAGTGGCTGAAAGCTTTGGGTCCAGACATGAATCCATCAGAGGGTTGGGGGGATCCATCAGTTTCGCCATGTTTCTGCCCTTCTCTTCTTGACAGCCAGGACCGAGGCTGCACAGGCTGGCAAGCCCAGGTAGCACCTTTGTGAGTATTTGACGGCCCTCAGGTAGCGAGCGTGCAGTGAACCTGTGCGGACAGTAAGTAGTGTAGACAGGAGAAAGCGCAGTCAAAGGTCTCATAGGGCACAAGGACGCAGAGCTACCGAGCAAAAAGACCAATACTCGAGGCTGCATGAATTTTAAGAATTTATATAATGTATTTCGAAACAAAAGAAACTGCAAATCGAAACTATTGTCTACCAAAGCTGCAAGTTTCCCATTGCAAAGATGAGGGTCACAAGATTGTATCCATCTCCGAAAGATGGACGGACTGCAACAAGGAAATCGGCCAGACAAACATCGATCCGGGTGAGCTTGCCCGCTGACCCCCTGCCCAAGCTCAAGGGAGGCTGAGATGCGGGCCTTTTAACTTATATAAATGGATGCTGAATTATTTACTTCGAAATGCATTCTGGTCAGTGCGACACTACCACACAAGCTGATGCAGATCATTGATCAATCATTCTGCAAAGGCTTTGCCCCCAAAGTCTCTGCACCGTTGGTCACTACGTCCGCGTCCCAAAGTCTCACAAGATCAGTTTTCTGTACCGAGATAAGACCAAAGGGAGTCCGAGTCCGAACGAAGCCGAGACATCACGGGCGAGGAAAGATCTCTGGGGGGCACTTTAACCCTGCTGTGACACTCGCAGTGGTGCTGAGTGGACGATTCCTGGTAGCAAGGACCGAGCGAACCCCCGAAAAGAGCGCTTGGACGCTTCAGCGGGGATTCGACATGATTCCACCAAGCAAAGTGTCTCAGGTTTCTTTCTGTTCTAGTCACAAACCATGTCATTCTATAGTAGTCCCCTCAGTTTTGGAGACAAACTTCTATGGAGGTCTACTCCTACCAGTCAATCGCCCAAACCAGTGCAACTTGGTTGGGATTGTGGATGTGTTTCATGTCAAGTCCATGATCGTAAAAAGTTCCCTTGTCCTTCTCAAGGACGAGTTCTACGACTGATGGGCGTCTGACATCAGCATTTTGTATACATACAGAGTACTGTGTAGCTAAAAATGGAAACTGACATGCCACAGACGGCGGTGCAGCCTGGCAAAGTTGCGATCTGGCTTGTTCTCAAGGTAGAGACCTGAACTGGGGAGGTGACCCAGACAACGGTTGGATCCTGAAAAGCTTTGGTTTGAAGAGGTCAACAGTCGAGTATAGTATAGGGCATCCACTTCAGAGTCATTTTTGGTGCCATAGGGTGTGAAAGGAAGGCCGAACAACAAACTGTTCGCCCCGGAGCAAAGTGATGCCATGCGATGCCCCATAAAGCACCCACCTTTCTCATCAGGAGCAGTGCCACTACAACGGGGCGTAGGCCAATCCTTGGGTTGGTGAAGACCGGAAAAAAGAACCCACTGTGGGGAATATTTCAGCAACCTTTCCTCGTATTTTTTTGCTGAAGATGTGTCTGTAGGAAGTGAGTGACTGATTCTTATCACATGCATACAAAAGGGGCTTCCTTTTTTCCGTTCCTGGTAGGGTGACCATTTTTGACCATTGACAAGAAACGTGCAATACTAGCCAAATATGATCGTCCAGTCTGTCAAAAGCTAAATCTGGTTGCTATTCAACAGCTCTGACATCCACCCTGACTCACGAACATGGAAGTGGAAAATGATAGAACATTGTTGTTGGTAGACCACTTTCCTTGGGGGAGATTTCATGGATTTTCCATTTTGATGTTAGAGAGTTAGGGGATTTTCATGTCCTCATTCCCTGGCTGAACCGGCTGAACCTTCCGCCTCCTGCCTGAGGATCCGTGTGTTCGGTGGCCGATGGGCTGGCCTATGCAGCCGTGCAGGCGTTGTTCCACGAGACACCGGGAGTCGGCCGTTGGGATGTGTTTGGATCCCGAGGCGGGGTAGCGGACTCCTTCCATAGACCAAGCATGGTAATCATGGCGCCTAAAAATTCCCGGATCTGGGTGGAGGTCCAGTCTAGCAGTGGCCGCAATGAGGTGAAGCTGAACACCAAGGATTTGATATGGATTGGACAAAACGTCTCCGATGGTCGCAAGAGCTCGTCTCGAATCGGTCGGGTTCGGTCGGGCGTTCTATTGTCTCGGCAGGTCTGCGGTGGCTTGGCCGCGGGGCTTCTGGTAGCGGCAGCCCGGTGCCAGAACGAGGGTGTAGAAGGCTAGGTGTTTGGGGGATTTCGGACTCAAAGATCCAAGGAATCCAAGGGGCTTGGTTTTTTGTTGAGTCTTCTCCATGTCTTCTCATGGTGACAGTGTAGGTCAGCTGTGCACGGAATGAGAGGAGTCCTGGAAGGGCCCACGAAGGATCTACTGCAACATTCGCTGATGCCAGCATCACCCCTCATCATGCGATCACCAATTTCAGCTTTGTACTGCCTTTTCTTGTTTGGTCAAACTTACAACTCTATCAACTCCCTTGGTTCTCTTGTCCTGCGACAAGACCGCAATCCAACAAGGCCAACAGTCGGTTTCCGAACGAGTTGTCTGCCAGTTTATGGAACGACAAATCCTGACCCATCAACCGCATCCAGTTGCAGCTCAGGTTTATCACATGAACGGGCCCTACTTCTTTCTATCTTTCACGCCTCTACCTGCGAAAGCATGGAGCGCTCAGCAGTGATACAGTGCAGTTGTGTTTTCGTGTTTGCTTGTGGGCCGATTTTAGATCATCGCTTGATACTTCAGACTCAGTTCCTGGCAAACCATCAGCTGTCAGTGAGATGCTCCAATCATTGAGGCATTGCAACATAGTGATGCAGCGATGCAATTTTGTTGCAGTTCGACTTTGTTGCCCCACACATTCCCAGGAGGGACTACAGCGTGGTGCAAGCGCTTTGGCTCCTTTTGGGAGGGCAGGGCGCGGAGAAGATCTTTTCCTGGGGATGTTTGAGTGGTCTTTTCTGCAAGGCCGGGAGCCAGAGTCTTGTGACGCCCCTTTGACGCCCCTTTGAAGCCTGTGACGCCGTCAACACAAAGCCGGGAGATGGCGTCCGCGTCTTAGGGACTCGTCTAAAGGTTGGCCTGGAGCGTGAAGCACGGAGTAGGCCCGTGCTTGGTGCTAAAGTCCCACTACGTAGCATGTGTTGCTAATGCTTCAACATCCGGTCATTGGAGATGCCAGTGAAGCTTCTGCAGCCTGGCCAGAGAAAACCTTTTTCCTTGGAAAGCATTGGAAAGCCTGGGCCTGAACCTAGTGGGAAACCTTGCTGCTCCGAGTCTGATCCCGCTCTTCCAACGTGGAGCTGCTCTAAGGTCGGCCTCGCGGAGGGAGTCTTCACTTTTGTGCTCCTTGGTTGAAGGTTTGATGCTTTTAGTGCTGGTGTTGCTGGTGTTGCTGGTGCTGGAACTGGTGCAAACGGTGCCCATGAGTTATTAATCAAAAGGTTAGATATGACATGATATGACTAGATCAAGGAACAAATCTTTGACTTCCATGTTGGTGTTTGGGTAGGAGGTTTTCGTGCCTGGTGAGACTAATCCCTATCTCACAACGGCCCCATGCCGGATCCACGGATAGATGCACCTGCCCTCAGACATGGTCAATGTACCAACAATTGGTGTGTTTTCCAACAGAAAAAGTGCTGCTGGGAGTTGAATCATCACATGCCCTAGGATTCTGGAGGCATTCACGTTTGGTGTGTTTGCATTCGTCTATACATTTACTACCTATGACAACCCACCCACGAAAATGGCCCCACCATTTTACTTTCCCCATTGACACAGCCTGGAAATACGTTGCTTCCGCTTGTTGCACCCTCCCACCAACTGCTTCGACCCTTGGCGGGTTCCGCAGGCTGGCCTATGTTGCACTCGCTTGCTCCACGGTCGCGATGCCGAAGGCTCACAAGCGACAGGCGGGCCGAGTCAACCACATCTCACCGAGAGACTATGTGAGAGACCAGACTCACCAAGAAACTCACCCACATCGTCCAATTCAGCCACCCAGATGGCCCAGACCCACTCACATGACCCAGATGGCCCGCCACGCTTTTCTTCATCTTCCGCAACCCCGAAAATCCACACGAAGAGCGGCGCCAAGCGCGCGGCCATCTTGCAGAACCTCTTCTTCGGCCTCGCGGAGGGCTTCTGTGTGATGACGGGCGGCTGCGCGGTGGGCACCTTCAGCGGGGGCATGTTGAACCCGGCCGTGGCCGTTCCTCGGTGACCGGCAGACCGGGCCGTGGCCGTTCGCTCGGCTTCCGCTGCGTTCCTCGGATCGGATGGGCTGGTGGAAGGCCAAGTGAGGAAAAGGTGGAGAATAGTTGGGGTTGGGCTGGCCGGGCAAGCTGCTGCGTGTTGAGCAACATTTGCCTTTCGCCTTTCGCTTCACCATTTTGACATTGACTTACTGGGCTTTTACACCACAAACCCTGTGAAGCAGAGTGTTTCCACCCCTTTTCTGGCCAAGAACCTCCGAAACGGCAAAGATGAGTTCGCTCTGGCCTCCTTGTGAGGTGGGCGTTTGGATGCTGAACGTGGCGGAGATTCATTCCATTCAGGACGGGCTTTTCTTCTTTTTTCCGGGTGGCCCTGCCGAGGCGATGGATGTCGAAATCCCAAAGGACCCGAAACCGACTCAAAATGGATGTATCCCCAGTCCGACCGCTGCGGGACCCGATGTAAAGGATCTCAGTTGACATACTGGAACAACGAGGAATATTTGGAAGCGGCTGGAGTAGGACGTGGAGTAGGATGTGGAGAAGGAACATACACGTATTTTTCTGCTTGTTTGGATGTCCAGGTTGGGACGTTTTTTTCGAGATGGAGTAGGAGGTTCGTGGAGGCGCCTGAGACAAGGCTGGTGGCTGGAGCCATCGACAAACCTTTTGGCCTAAGCATATGCCACGTCTTCCACATGTCACAAGCTGATTACAGCCTCAAGAATTGGGATGGGAAGGTTTCCCGAAGCGCCTGAATCCCTAAGTGGGGTGGGCTTGATGGCCTTCAACCGGCCATTGGGATGGACCTCGTCCTGACATGTCCTGAATGGGAGGCGTGGACAATCCATGGCACCCTACGCTACCTTTGGTGTCCATTACGGGGGTTTCGGTATAAGGGTGCCATGACCCACTATCGCTTATGCAATCAGGATGAGACCTCAGATGAAGACTATCAGCTATGGACTCATCGCTGTGGCCCAGCCGTAGTTCTTCTGTGCTATGCCGCGCAATCTACGCTACGCATCAAACGTCGGGGATTGGTCTCACAATTCCATCTTATATATGTTGCCTGGTCAGTGGCCAAAAAGGTGCAACCCCCCTAGTACCTTGCATCCTCATGGGACCTACTCCATCAGTGGTCTTTTTGGAGGCATATCATCTTCCAGGCCCATTAGTACTGAGCACACTAGTCACTATATAGTATCAATTCCTCTGCTTAGCAAACCGGTGTGTATGTTTTGGGAATCCTTTGACCCTATCATACGTTTCGCCCGCAGCGGGAGATGCAAGGAAGCTGGCAATGGCTTGTGTACGCTCTTGAAGTTCAGTACGTTCCAGTGCACTGGAGGCCTCATTGAGGAGGGCAGATGATGGAGCGAGTTCTCGTTGGGACGGACAGACCAAACAAAGAACCCAAGCTTTTGCGAGCAACCAAACAAACTCACAAGCAGCTCGGCCGTATTTCTGCAGCACAGGATGGACAGTCAATTCATACCAATCGAACGATACCTGACGAGTGCAACAAATGGCGCACAACATTTTTCCTCTTCATACGGGCTAGAACAGGAAAATACACGAAAATGCAAGAAAATACATATCCATTCAACTAAGAGCAAGGACGCTAGTAGGTGGAGGCCATCGCTATTAGGTTGGAGGTCACTACTACTACTACTACTACTACTACTACTACTCCTCCTACTACTACTACTACTACTACTACTACTACTACTATCATGTAGTAACGAGATCTCTCTCTCTCTCTCTCTGTCTCTCCAGACCATGTCAACCTCCTGGTCCGCTTTTGGGAGGCTTGTTGGCAGCGGTGGTCTTCCGCATTACCCATCCGAGTGAATACTGCAAGGTGCGCGGAGTGAAACCCATCCGGGTCGATCGGGAAAGCAGCAAGCAAGTAGTTCGGATCAAACAGCGAGTTTGATCTACGAGTTTCATATTGATAAAGTTTATATTGGAGAAGCAATCCTGAGCTCCATCGTGCCCATAGACGCCATGCCTGTAGTTGGCTGCAGAGATACGAAACAGGCTGGGATTTTCAACTGCCAAAACAACACCAAATATCTACTTTCTTTGGAATATGAAAAATTGTCCCAAGAATACCAAAAGAACACCGGTCGTGAAAGAACGCCATCAGTCTTAAGACCCACCGTCGATGCCGACTCGGGCAACCGCGTTTCTCTACGCGGACGCCGCGAAGCACGGACGCCGCGACCGTGCCAGGCTCCGTTGCTGGTCCGCTGAGGGGAACTTGAACCACAGCACCGATGAGGGCCACCTGTACAATTAGACATTGGAAGATCTATGATCTGAAGAAGTTTTGGACCAACAAAAACAACAAAAAAGGATAACAAGGGCACTTCTACCATCGTCCCTGGAGACGAAGCCAGACTTGAACCCGTGTCTGACGCCGTGTCGCCCAACTGGGTCCACAGTTCCGAAGCTCCACGGAACTGCTGTGCCGTTGAAGGAAAAAAGGGCGCCCGTTGGAGCAGCTGAACTGCACCGGAACCGGGAGCAGCTGAACGTACGAATGGAAGTAAAACACAGAATCAGTTGGTGCAAGGGATTGGTCTTATGAACCAACATTGTCCAGGTTGTGGACGCATTTTGGGGCCTTTCCGTAAGGAACCATGCCATGTTGACATGAACCGCACCGACTACGTATTTAGATCGCAGCTCTTCAAGAGGGGTTGCTTCAAATAGATATGGTTTCATCCTTTCATCGTGTGTGTCTTACGTCCAGTATAATTCAACCGCAAGGAACCAGTTGAAAGGTCCATCACTTCGGCGGTTCAGTGTTGAACGGAATTCAACCATCCCGAAGTACAGCAGAAGGCATATATGAATGCATATAAGTTATTCCACAATGTTGATCAGTTTCCTGTTTCTTTTTGAAACCGTCCTACTCTGTCTACTCCATAGAGAATGAATGTTTCGTCCCTAAAGCAATGAACCACAATGAACCTCTTATTTTACAACATCTTTGGTGAAGTTCTCATACATGAGCGTCTAGTAACAAGAAGCGAACGTAGCCATCGCTATTAAGATACGAATGTAAGTGCATGAGGCGTCTCCCCAGTCAGGCCATACCCCGCCAGTGGACGAGGCACACGCCGAGGTCCCGCCTTGGCCGAGCGACCCAGCTCGTCGACCGAGGCCGACACCGAGTCAGCGCTGCGCTTTGCCGCCAACTGCCGCAAGGCGCGCAGAGCGAAATAGGAGGATTGCGGAGGACGGGCATTCTTTTGTTGGCACAGCGTAAACAAACAAGGGATCTGGAATTATCTTGTTTTGAAGCAGTTGTGGATGGTGATATGCTGCTGCAATGGTTTCATATACTGTCCCAAATGACCTGATGAATTCAATCCCCGCGAAAAGGGGCTGCCAAAGAATCCCTATTTCTTGGCATCGAAAGCATTTCGTGGCCATTTGACCTCAAGGATTTTGCCAAAGTCGCCCGGGTGTTTCGCGCGCTACTTCGTGTGTTGACACCTGCTCTGGTGAGCGCGATGGCGGTCCGCTCACGCTTGGCTGGATTGATCCTCGTTGCCCTCCTGGGCCTTGTCATCAATGAACTTGCCTTCGTGGGACCACCGTCTCTCTCCGGACGTCAGAACCTGGCTCGTTTGAGAGCAGTTGATGAGCTCGTGAAAGAGGAGGTGAAGGTGATGGAGAAGGTCAAGGAGGTGACCATCGAGTCGAAGGAAGAAACCCCAAAACATGATGAGCTCTTCGGACTGGGAGAATTCTTCTCGACCGACCTCACGAGCGGCGGGGCCTTTTGGCTTTGGCTGATCGTTCCATCTTTCGTGCTCTTCTATGTGTACCTTGATTTGGTCTTTGGCGAGAGGTGTGGGCAAGCCAGCTCATACCTGAACGGAGGCGGGGCCTATTGCATGTCAGAGTCCATCCTGGGTGGGGCCTTCGACAAGTTGGCTCAGACGCACATCGGATGAGACGAACACAGGTTTTGGAGATTCCAAGAGCTTTGCTCAGTACAGCAACTTCGCTTCTGAAGGGTTTATCGGTTTATCCCATTCAGTTTGCTACTGTATCCTTAACAAGAACGCTACATCAGATTTTACTTCGTCTGACACATGAACCCTTTGGCAGGCACTCAGGGGTCTTTTCGCGCGATTCCACAAGGAGAAACCGCCCCCTTTTGGTTTGCTTTCGCGGCAACACCGCATCCAAAGCTAATTCGCATTGTGATATTTGCTTGGCATCATGAGGCGAACTCGTCTGACACATTCTAAGCAGATGGACCCAGTGTTCTGGACAGAACATGCGAGCTGCGAGCTGCCACCCTGGGACGCCCACCCTGGGGCGGGTGTAAAATGGGATCTTCCCATATTCCCGGTAGTTGAAGGTGGTTGTGGATGATCTCTCAGATATAACTGTCACCTATGTCACCTATGCCTTTGATCAGAGTTTATATCTTCAGGTTGCAGGGTGGCAAGTTGGCAAGTCCAAGCTCCCAAGGATTCCCAAGGCATTGCGATCGGTGGACTATTGAACTGATCAGAACCCCTCTTGTCAGGCCAAATTCCATTGATGGATAATGTTCTGAAATGTGCAGACGCTCGAGGTTATGGTCAGGAAGAACTCATGATCCGTTTCAGTCCATGCCGTTCTATGAACAGGTTGATGGTGCCTTTTTGGGGTACAGCTTCGCATGCGGTTTTGAAGCAGACGCATTTAATCCAAAAACTTTCCCTTTGGATCTACATACCCTCTGAGAAGGTGATTGGAGACTCTTTGATGTCGGTTACCAAAACGTCGGGTCCAGTCGTACCGAGCCTGAGGTACGGTGGCTGTGGATCCGGTTTGGGTCGAAACTCCCCACATCTCCAAGCTATTTCCTTCGGGCCACCGCGTGCGTCTTCCGAGACACGGCCACATGTCCGCTATCAGGTTTTTACGCATCCGATGAGAAATGAGGACGGGGCAGCGGAGGAACTACGCATGTTTGGTTTGCAGTTTGCACCTCCCAACTAAGATCAGCCAGCCTTCGGTAATTCAATCATGTGCGTTCTTCCACGTCTTCCACTTTTGTTTGCGAATGGATGCTTGCGTGCATGTGGGAAACGCCGCAGGAACCAAAGAATGAAACAGCATTTGCATTGCAGCGTGAATTGGAACAGCCACTCGGCTTGTTGTAGTTGAGGGGCAATCGGAGGAGGTGACATAGCTGAGTAGAGGACCATGCTCTTTCAATCCCCTCCCAAACACGCAAATTATTTACTGTATATAATTTGTTATTATATGGGCGCCATTTTGCTGCAGTTCAGCCTCTCTTCAACCACTGAGCGATTGAGCTCTCGTTCAGCTGCGGGTGAATCAAATATAACTATATGGGCTTCAGTTTGAATGTGCAGGTTGAACCGGAACCCCGGGTTTTGTGACCTCATTGATCTGACGTTCACTGCCAGCGCTCGAACCCTGAGGCTGGCCAGAGAGCTGGCGAATGTGCAAAACAAGGAAGTGAGGCGGACGAATAACCTGGAGAGCTGGCAGAAGCAATTAGAAACAGAAACTTGAACACTTGAGCCATTCTGATATACCTACCCACTTGATTAAGTGGTATATTATTCTCAATCAGGCCATGTCATGTACACGAATGTACAGTGAAAGTCTTGATGCACAGTTGGGTTTGACGAGTGGACCAGTCCAATCCAAGTTAAGTCAGATTCTTAGTCATCCTGTGACCTCATGCCAAGAAGAGGTATGCGGCGAGTGTCTCAGGAAACTATTCCCAAAGGAACCGAACCGGTAAAAACTTGAATGAGATAGAGAAAACAATCTGTTGGCACCAGATGAAAACGATTCAACTTTCTCTAGTAGTCACTCTAGTGATCAGTTCCATCCACGGATCAAACATGATTATATAGTTTTCTTTACGTACACCTTAAGTTAGTGTGACTTTTTTGACGGCACAACCTCATGTGGACCACTCTAGATGGCCTTCTTTTGATCGTCACCCTGGAGTAGATATGGGGGAACCCCCAAAACCAACAGGAAAACCTGGTTTCGGTTTATATTCGATCATATGCGATGTAATTCATCCAGGATGATGGTTGACTACAAAGCCCGTCCCTTGGGGTGACCTGTGCCTCTTCCGCGTTCGCAGGCGCGAGCTGTCTGAGCGGCTTACCACGGCGCAGCTGCTGAGCGAGCAACACGGGAGTGCCCGCCCCAGCGGCAGAGGGGTCGGGTGGATGGGGGCCTGGAATATCAAAGTGGAGTGCTTGGGTAGACTCTTATTGTTCCTAGTAGCTTCTTGTTCCTAGTAGTAAGGCCAGGAGCCCCTAGTAGCGTCCTTGCTCCTAGTAGCGATGCCAGGAGCCCCCAGTAGCTTCCTTGGGTAGACTCTTATTGTCTCTTAGTTTTTAATTTAAGGGGACACGCAAAGGTATATACTGTAGATTGCTGGAACTGTCTTTGTCCTGAGACTCACTGAACACGTGGTACAGATGTGCCCCGTCCACACTCTGACATTGGTTTGCAGTTAATCTATTCCCAAGTGGAAAAAGGCGAGGGAACGGCAAGGCGAAAGGTCCAAGCACTTGTAGGTGTTTTAACAAAAGAGTTTCTCACTTGACTGCGGAAGATGCATTCGCCGCTTTACTGAATACCTAACAGACCGCCTATGCATTAGCCGCTTTACTGAATACCTAGCAGACCGCCTATGCATTAGCCGCTTTACTGAATACCTAGCAGGCACGGAACGGCGGTTTAGACAGTTATTAAAAATGCAGGTATGTTTACACGGGTCCCAGAGGAGGTCTTCGTTGGCCACCGCTCCTCTGGGACCCTGGTGGCCCCCTGCTTCTTTGTCTTTTTCTTTTTCTGCATCCCTGTCCCTGCCTGTTTGTTCTTAATTCGTAGCGATGCCCTTGGTTCTAGCGGCCTCTGGTTCCTAGTAGCGAGGCCAGAAACCATTATATAGTAGCATCCTTTCTTCAAGTAAAACCTGCTGCATGCATACTTACCGGGCACGAACCTTGGAAACAGGTGTTGACACACACACACACAGTATGCCGCAATCGGCGCTCTGCACCCCCTGCGTTAAACAATTTTGTTCAGCAGCTTTGTACACACAACGCCGATAGCGGCGTGCCGGGAGATTACTAATCACCTAAAAAGCCTTAGAAAGACAGACAAAGAAGAACAGGAAGAGAAAACGAAGAGGGCAAGAGAGAAAGATAGGAGCAGGTACGAGGCCGGCTAGTTACCAAGCCTGTTAGTTACAATACATGCAGAAGCTAGCGAGCGGGACTTTTGTCTTATACCGCCCGGGTAGCTAGAAGTAGGACAAGAGAAATAGAAGGAAAGGCACCAACACACAAGTGTGTTGAGTGCGATTTCCTTCTATAACCCTAGATAGCGGGTGGGATAGCAACAAAGGCCAGGGGCAGGGAGGGGAGCCCGAAGGCATTGCAATCACTGACATTCAAGTAAAGCCGATTTAGGGCCGGCGCACCCTGGTCGGAAAGGCACCTGGAACCTAAAAAACGGCCTCAAGAAACGAAAAGCAACAGAAAGAGAGAAAGAACCCAAGCTTGTCATGCAACAAGAAGAGCTACCTATATAACTGCTAGCTTGGTGACCCTGCGACATGTACCTCAAAAACCGCATGGGTGAAAGTCATGACAGTAGCTTCACTGGTCCCAAAAAAGGTCTTGAAATGAACTTGAAACTGAACACTGGCAGCGAAAGAAGTTGGAATCCATCAAATGAAAGTACAGGTGGAGAAAAGTCGTGGGCCCGACGGCATCGTGTTTTGAGAATCCAGTGAGACCAATTCAGTTAAGAGAGTCCAACGCATGCAGGAAACAGTTGAGTCCGTTACACGATAGTCCGGAGTGAAAACGGCGCCTCCTTGCGGAGGATCACACCCAGCACCCAAGTGGGACGACTGAGCGGTTCACACTCTGACATTGGTTTGCAGTTAATCTATTCCCAAGTGGAAAAAAGGCGAGGGAACGGCAAGGCGAAAGGTCCAAGCACTTGTAGGTGTTTTAACAAAAGAGTTTCTCACTTGACCGCGGAAGATGCATTTGCCGCTTTACTGAATACCTAACAGACCGCCTATGCGTTAGCCGCTTTACTGAATACCTAGCAGGCACGGAACGGCGGTTTAGACAGTTATTAAAAATGCAGGTATGTTTACACGGGTCCCAGAGGAGGTCTTCGTTGGCCACCGCTCCTCTGGGACCCTGGTGGCCCCCTGCTTCTTTGTCTTTTTCTTTTTCTGCATCCCTGTCCCTGCCTGTTTGTTCTTAATTAGTAGCAATGCCCTTGGTTCTAGCGGCCTCTGGTTCCTAGTAGCGAGGCCAGAAACCATTAGTAGCATCCTTTCTTCAAGTAAAACCTGCTGCATGCATACTTACCGGGCACGAACCTTGGAAACAGGTGTTGACACACACTCTGACATTGGTTTTCAGTTAGCTCAATTGCCACGTTGGGAAGGAAGGTGAAGAACGGTAAGGTGAAGAGTCCGCAAAACTTGTAGATGTTTGAACAAAAAGGTTTGAAGTCTGCAGAAAGCACGAAAACGAAACGCTCACGAAAACGCGCGGCTCAGTTGCAAGAACGCGGTGGGACGATTTAGGGGGAGTATCATGAAGAACCATGAAAACAAACAAGGTCAATTGGACAGCTTGTTCAACCGTTAAAGCAGGTACACATCCATGGCCAGTGGATGCTTCCCTCTCTGATGCCTAGCTTCGTTGGACAGAGTAGCATCAGAGAGCTCTGTCCCCTGCTTTAAATTAAATTAGACCCTTGGAAACAGGGTTTGACACACACACGGTGCCGCTTCGCGGCGCGCGTGTGAAAGACCTGAATAGTCACCTAAAAAGCCTTAGAAACAAAAGAAAAGAAAGACAGAAAGAGCAGCGCTAAGAGGGCAAGAAAGAAAGGTAGGTGTAGAAAAAGTGAATACTTAGCCCTTGACTGGGGTAGGGAAACGAGCCTCAAGAGCAACCTAAAAAGCCTGAGAGAAAGCCCAACAAACGACGAAAAGCGCAAGAAGGAAAGCGGGGGGGGCAGGGAGGGGCTGTATGTCCATGTGTGTGTACATGTGTGTGTCTGAATACCTAGCACTCTAGAGTTACTGATTACTTAGCAGAGATGAATTAAGTGCAATAGCTAGGGAGCGGGACTTTAGTCTTAGACCGCCCGGGTAGGATAGACTAGAACAGGAACAACACAGGGAAAGGCACCGACACACAAGTGTGTCGAGTACCATTTCCCTATGTTGCCCTAAATAGGTAGGGAGTAGAACTCGGCTGGGGGGGGGGGGTTGGGAAACCTGCCTCATTGCGGGTGGATTACCGTTTTATAGCCCGGCGGCTCTGGATTCGGTGGTTGAGATTGTCCGTTTTGTGGCCCGGCGGCTCAAAAATCCGTTAATTCAGTTATGAAAGTGAAGAAGCAAAGGGTCAGTTATAAATATGAAGGACCAGTGAATTCCGGAATGGCTTCGGCGCCTCCTTTCGGAGGGTCACACCCAGCACCCAAGTGGGAAGACTGAGCGGCTCACACTCTGACATTGGTTTTCAGTTAACTCAATTGCCACGTTGGGAAGGAAGGTGAAGAACGGTAAGGTGAAGAGTCCGCAAAACACACACACAGACTTGGTCCTTGTCCTGCCCCACATACTGCCCCCTGGAATGCACTGAGGCTGGGAAGAGCAGGAAGCACGTTCCAAGGAGTTGGAAATGGAGCGACGGCAGTTGCTCAACAGTGCGCTGCCGAGATGGGGGTCCATCAGTGGTGGTTGGCCGAAGAGGGGAGATGGGGGAGTCAGTGGAGTGTGTTTCGGCAAGGGGGACGACTGAAGAGGAGTCAAATCCAGCTCTTCGTGTTCTTCTGCTTTTTTGGATTTTGCTGCCATGGTCACAGGGAGGGTCAGTTCAGGACAGGGGTCTCTTTTCGCTTGTCGCCGAGCTGGTCTCTTCTCCCGTCTTCTCGTCCGACCCTGGGGTGTCCGCGGCGGTTTACTCACCGGAGCACCTGCCTTCTTTGACCCGGAACCCAAGGGGTGTGGATGGTGGATTGCTGTGGTCAGGTCGGCCTGCACGCGAAACAACAGAGACGGTTCTTCCCATATTCCAGGCGTTTGTGCCTGGAAAGAGCTCGGTAGCTCGTCATTCATTGGCTATCTTCCAGGCAACCGTTGAAACTAAGGAGCAAACTGTCTTGAAAAGGCAGGATTCATTTCATCCATTTCTGTTTCTGCCGTGCGAAGCAGTCGTTCAACAGTGGAGTGGAACAATGAAAGCCAAACCTCCATATTTGAGTGCTTTTGGTATGGATGTGCTTGGTTTTTTGCGTAGTTTCAATACCACCTGCAGAGATGTTCAGAATTCAATGGTATGGAAGGTCTTTGTGTACTATTTTCGCAACTCAGACACAGATAGAAGTGCTTGGCCAGATGTTCCAAGCCGCGAGTGTGTAACACCACCAACATCGGAGCAAACCGCCTTTTCCGAGTATCTGCGGCATATCTTGTTGTGTCTCTCACCATGTGGGTGATGGATGGTGATGGTCCTTTTCGCTCGACCATCGATTCGAGGCCTAAACCTCTTGGGGACAGGAGAGGAGTATGGGATCATGTCAGTCAATGTTTGTTCGTGTCCAATGGATGCGTATCATTGGAGTCTGGTGCTGTGGGGGTCTGGCTATGGAGCTTTTTCTCGTCTTGGTGATTATTTTCTCGAACATACCTTATGAAGTGAACATTGTTCTACTGTGCTTGTCGGAACTATTTGCATGGCAGATGCTGGCATCAGTCCTTCGAATCTATGCAGTTTCAAGCGCGAACCACCCGAACGGTGTCCAAGACTCCAAGGCGGGTCACATAGAAGGTCGAAACAAACGGATATCCTACACATTCAAGAGTAAATGCGTCACATGAATGTGTCAAGTGTCCAAGACTCCAATGTGTAGGAGTGTAGGATACCTTGCATTCACACGGATTTTCCGAGCCTTTAATCTTGACTTGAACAATTGAACTTACTGTAATTTATTCAATTGCTTGTTATGTCTATGCCACTGCTGCAAGCTGCATTCTTGGACGTGTTGACGCTTACAGTTGTTGCAGAGAGGCCGTTTTGTGGTCAGTGTGCTTAAAGTGTTGGCGTTTTTTGCTCGTATGACTGTTAACAAGCTTCCGGGACTTGTTTCAACAGGAACTGCTTGGATGTTGAATGCTCAGGAAGGTCACGCTTCTCGAAGCAAAACACTTTGTTTTAGGTCTCAGAAGTAGAACCACACATCCGTCTAGTGAAAGAGATTGTCACTTTACATCAGACAGCAGCATACTGCTCCATTTCTGCCACTCCAACTGTACTCCGCCACATGGCCACCAATCTAATTCTGCTCAATCCAGTTTTTACAACGTATACAGGATGTTGAACAATGCGATCTAGCTCGGAACATTTATTCGACATGAATTTCCAGGGGGCCAGGAGGCCACATGTGCCACATGTGCCTTGCTGCAAACAAAGTGAATGTGTCAGTGGATGCCCCTGCCAACATACCAACATGCCTTTCCCTGCATGCCTTCACCACTTCTAACATCAGGAACAGCAGTCGCTCGGTCGCTCGGTCCGCTTTGTGCCTCGGTTGCCGAGACCGGTCATGTCCAGACCGGTCTCCCGCACACTCCCCTTTTGTGTGGAAAAAAACCATCTTCAACTAGCAAGATGGTCATTCGCCACAAATGAAAGCGTGTTTCTTTTTGTTTTAAACCAAAGGGCCTTTTTCTATAGCGAGAACCAGTTTTGGCCTTCCCTGTGAGTCAATGCAGGAGGACTCGCCAAGGCGGCCAGCACGCAAAGTCTCACGCAACGCAACACCGCGCGAGGCGCGCGCGCTTTTTCTTGGTCGGTGCATGTGCATGCGTGCGTTCGTTTGAGACCAGTTGGTCAGGGGGTCCTAGGCCTTCAGTAGGAGGTCGGGCTTTGTTCGCTTTGACTTTTTTCTTCAAACCCACAGTGCATGAAGCCTTCGTGAGGTTTGCTCAACTCCCCATCTCATTCTACCAGTGAACCTTGGATAGTGTATTAGAGACCTGACAATCTATCAACTTTGACTTGCTGGGCACCACCAATACTTTACATTCTCAATATAGTCCAGTCTGACCGACTGCTTCATCAAGTGTCAGCAATGGCTAACACACCTCCCCCCGTTTCGGGCCTTTCGGCGTTCTCAACCCGTTCGGCTTGGAGTCTGTGGCACCGGTGCGTTGTCCCGCTGCGAGGCACACAGACCTCCAAGAAGTTCCCTGCAGGAGGCGCACGTGGTCAGAAACTGGAGACTGGAGACATGTTCTCCCCAGAAGACTGGAAGGTCAAGAACAGGTTGAGGTGAGTTGCTTTTAGGCTTTGTGGCTTTGTGTATACAATGGTATTGTCCAGTTTTGTTCAGTTTTCCTCTTACCAGTGGGGGTCAAGAAGCAAATTGTCCCGAGTCATCCTGTCGTGTTTCCCAGAGGCCTTGAACGACGGGAGAGTGCGGCGCTCAGAGAGACGCGGGAGAGCCTCAAGGGTTTGCTAGCACACTTCTTATAGAGTTCACGCGGGTCTCTACCACATGAAATCTTGACAAGTTCAGAAAAGGATTTTTTCTGATGGCTTTTGTAAGGTCTAGAGCCCCTCAAAGCCTGGTAAGGCCTTTGGTAAGGCGTTTGGCAAAGCAAAAGAATAATCTAAATTCAAACTTAGAGTTTTGGTAGCATAAACCTGTGGATCTTGTATAAAATAAAGACAGAATCAAGCACTCTATCACCATCCCAAGCTCCCCAAACCACCAAAGTCGATGTTTCTGGGGCATTCTTGGAACCTGCCGTTGCGCGGTTGTGGACACCGACCCTAACAGCTTGTCGAAAGCGTGGCAGTTGATGGAAGATATCCAAGCAAGATTGGGATGTAGCTCAAGATTCGCAATACTGAAACCCTGAGAATAGGATACCCAGATAGTACAACTTGGGGACAAGGAAGACATGACCAACACTTTGGATCTTCCCCAGGTGTTTTCAGGAGACCCCATGTCACCCTACAGATGGTACACTATTACAGGGGGTTTAGGAGAAATCTGTTCAAACCAGAAGTTCGCCCTGCAGTTCGGATCTTTCAGGATTACCACATCTAGGGCAGCCGATGGATAGATTCATATTGGGATCTACTACTGTAAATGTCATCCAGGACCCCTAGCACCCTACCTACTATCAAATACTATCAAAAGACGAAATCCTAACACCAGAATAGCACGCACGAAAGTACCTGGAATAGTGGACGCCCTTTCGGGCGCAGGAAGAATCGTTCCGGAAGCCCGACTCGCACGTCTTTGCGTTCCAGTTCCCTTGTTCATCAACAGCCTCCCCCCTTCCAAATTCACTGTGAAAGCAGGGTGGATGCGTGATGATGCGTGGGTTTGATGGTCCAACCCAACCAGAGATGAACGCAAGTCCATCAGTTTGTACGAGAAAAGTGGAGTTCACCACCTGTTTGTGATTGAGATTTCATCGGGGCCATGCCATCCACGGCCAGGCCCATATCAGGGAGTGTATCAGTCGTTGTCATCCGGTTACTCCTCTCCAAAGGGGAACCACCCATGTTCGCTCTCGCCTTAAGGCCTCCGAAGCGATGAGGACCGGCCCAACGATGGATGTTTGCCGTCATGGAGTTTTTTCAGGAAAGCAACGTCTTCACAAGCCCAAGAAAGCAACGTTCCACTGTGTTCCAAACAGATGTCAATCTAGTTTGCAGTTGAACTCCAAATAAAGACCAGCACGCAAATGTGCATGAAACACGAGCATCGCTCGCACACTGACAGCCCCGACAGCTTGGCACACTGCCAGCTGTGTGGGAACCCCGCCTCTTCAGGCGTCGCTGCAAAGGTCACTTCTTTCGACAAAAATGACCGCGGATCGACCCTGGCGCTCGGCCCGCGAAGAAGCTTCAGCACGGCTCGAGCACCTGCCCGCGAAGACAAGCTGCCTTTTCATTGGTGTTGGCAGGTCCGCCGTTTTCACTGATCAATGCATGTATGACGGCGGTTTGCCACAGATCGCCAAGGAGCCAGAGCTAGGGCTTGGACTCCACTAAAGTTGAGAGGAAGAGACAGTCGATGAAGTCGCAGTTCCACTGAGGACGTTCCCTAGGAGAGAGTTGGGACACTGCAGATGGTGTCTGCGCAGAGCACGGTTCTTTCAGGCGAACCAGGGTTCGGCAATTGTGTCCACCGAGGTCGCGAGCCACTTGCTTTAGTTTGATTGTAGAGTATTGTTATTATTACTATAATTTATTATCAATTAATTAATATGTGTGTTTAACCAATAATAATATATAGTTATGATGGTAGCCCTTGCTCCGCGCACCGCGCGGACCTGTTTTCCTCTTGGGCGTAAAAGTCCCTGCACGGTCGACCAAATCAACACTCCATCTACTTTCTAAATTGGCGAGGGATCGAACTGCCGGGCAACATTGAACCGCTGGACATGCTCTGGCCGCAAGCATTCAAGTAATCCACCAGATCTTTCAACCCTGGTGACCCTGTCTTATAATGGCTCACGCAGTAGGATCGATAGCTGGCGAGATCAGGATCGTTGGGATCACGCATTTCCTCATAGGTCTTCACACCCTTGTACTTGCCAAAGGCCACTAAAGAGGATCCCCACTGGCTGATCGACGTCACACCGGGCGGCAGATTGCCTTGGGGATACGGAGACTGGGCCTGCTCCGGCGACACCGGCATCGGAATGGGCATGGTCGCTCCCACCGACGAAGCAACATATGAGGCCATCTCTGGGCCTGTGGACTTCTTTTCTTCACGAAGACGCTTGCAAGCATCGGTCATAGTTCCAGAAGGGGAACCCTCCCACTTGAGGTCAAGTGAGATATCTTCGACATCTTGCACACGCTTCATCAGGGCATCCCATGCACCACATTTCCTGGCTTTGAGAACCAGGCGGAAACACTCGTCAGCTTCGGCTGGAGTGAAAACACCCTTAGAGTTCATGACCATGATCACTCGCACACGAACGGAAATCAAGCTCGACTTGTTCCACTCTCTTGGAGAAAGCTTGAACCATGTAACAAACACGGAGGTTGTTTGGATATTATTCTGCTCGGCAGGGTTAGGTTCTACTCAAATAAACAAAACACATGCATCATGAATTTACTCTCTGCAGAAACAAGCACGACAAACAAACAAAAAAGGATAGGCGGCAGCTTCACTATGGTTTGGTATTCATCAACCCTTAAGTGCATCACTCAAAATAACTCGTTATTATCCCTTGAGACTATATGCACTCATGAATACGACACAGTGCTATTCATGCGCTGCGCTATCATGTGACTTGGTCTTCTGCACGAACTGTTTCCTGCGATCACGTTCCTGGGCTCTGCGCTCAAGTACCAAGGCCTCCGGGCTAATTTGGTAACGAGCGGTCCTTAGGCACGCTCTGACAAGATCGAATGCCTCAGGACTCTCCTTGGTGAGAGAGTCAGCCAACATCCTATCCGTTGGTATCCACCGGATATGAGCTTTCATACGACTAATGCTATCCCTAAGGATGACGATATCGATCGAAGTCCGACGGTCTTCTAGCGTCGGAGAGGATTGAGCAATTAGATGGTCGTATAAAGACTTGCAATCGGTTACTAGCAACACCAAACGGTTTCCAAGGCCAGTCCATAGGCTCTGAGACAGTCGAGGTCCATCCAGGGCCTCTGACAAAATCAAACTTGTCCATTCAAGCATGCTCGAGGCAACTGACATGCTTTGAGCCTCAGCACTCAGTGTGGAGCTCACCACTCGAGGAAGGCGGAAGCTTTTCCAGTAGGCGGGTGTCCAAGAACAGTCGATTCCCTTGTTTACATCTTGGTGAACGAAACTCACCATGAAACCCGCTTGAGTGGCCCCCGCTCTGGCGTTGGCAAACGCTGCATCGGAATGACACATCAAACCTAACTCACCCGGGGGGATTGAACAGTAATGGATCTTCTGATCTGCATGTTGTCGCGCCCTACGAACAGCATGATTTGCAGCAAGTGCATCTCCTATTGTGGGCTTTGGAAACGATTGTTGGGAGAACGATACTTGTGTTCCAAGATCAGGTCGGGACTGGTTTGCTAGCCAGTTAAGGCTTCCATTCACAGCCCTCAAACAGCTAATCTCCTTGTCATCAAGGGGGACATCCCTATCCCTACATCGCTCCCTACTCATATGGATGGGTCGGATTTTATGAGCAAACTTTTCTTGACTCATAGTGATCTCGAAGGTTTCCATGTTTTGCTCATACTGGGCACCGCAAAAATCCCCCGATCCTTGCCGCCACTTGCGGAATTCGAAAACCTTCCGCAATTCGGAAATGGCGTTGGTGTAGGCTGTCCCACAACCCCCTGTGACACAATCGTCAACGTGCACTCCATAGACCCCTTTTAGCTGTCCATGTTCTCTAAAATAGAACAAGCACGCATCAAATCGAGACCGTTCGAACCCAACACGGACAAGTTCTTGGTGCAGCTTCCGATACCATGCTGAGGGGGAGTCATTGAGACCGTACACATGACCTACTACCTCAATCAAGGCGTTCTCTGGCACACCTGGTATTCCTCCCTTCGGAAGGCTAGCGTACAGAGGTCGATACCGCTTGGGGAGATCCCCTGCGGCCAGGAATGCACCCTTGATATCTCCCAAGGACATGCGCCAACGGTGGGAAGCCAACAGCTGAAACAGCATGTTCCTACCAACTTGGGACAAGGTGGGACTTTGAAGGTCTCCAGCGCTGGCCTTTTCGCTCAAGTCGGGATCGAGGTGACCTTGGAGACACCACCTAGCCTTAACTCTGGGAGCGGAATCATCCTCCTGCTTGATGGTAATGACATATCGGCTACCCATGATTCGATGTTGGAGGTGTTTCCTGACATCATCGGCTTCGGGGCCTAGAACTAACCGCGCAGCATGCTTCGAGAGGATGGTGTTCCACTCGAGCAATTTCGCTTCATCCACTCTGATTTGCAGTTCAAGGGGGTTCCCCGTGACGGGTATCTCTTTGGACGCTTTCTTCTTCATGTAGGCTGCTACCAAGACTTCATGTGATGCTCCGTTGTTGTACATGGTAACTAGGTCATTTATCTCTTCTAATGTGAGGTTCTCAGCTCTCCGAACCAGTTTGGCCTGTGTGAGGTGTTCCACTGAACAGATGGTGATTTCATCCTTGGCAAAGGTTTCCCCTGTTGCTTGAACACAGAGCTGATCGTCTTCCCACCCTGTGGTCGGCTTCTTAGTCGAAGGCTGGGAGGACTCTGGTAGGTCCTCAGCTGAACGCTTGAGTCCATGCGGATCAGCAGGAGGCTCTGACGATGGCTCTGCTTTTGCCTGTTGGGGAGAATCCTGAATGATGCGGTTCACTAATTCAGGGACGATTTCCTGCATCATTTCTTGGAAGTCTTCATCTGCCATACGTCCAGGTCGATACAAAGCCATCGGGCCGTCTTTCTGGAGAATCCTACGACGAGGTCTGACGGGACCATAGCCTGTTTCCGGATCTACTGTGTCTGGATCTGGTCGAGTGGTCGACTGGTCAACAGGCTGTGGCAATTCTGCCTCGCGAAAATCAGTGGCTTTGTCCTGGACGGGTACGGGTGGTAGCTCCTCTCCGTTGAGGTTAGCTTGCATATCGACATCTGACGATTTGGGCTGACCACCCGCTGCCGTTTTGTCCAGCACAGACTGGGGGACTGAACCCCTGTCGGCTTCATCAGACCGAGTGTCCTCTGATGACTCTCCGGGATAGGCGTCAGGCACTAGATCGATATACTGTTTGCTTGACAGTTGACCCGATTCGATGAGATGTTTGATTCCCAAAAATTCCATATTTGGAGTCTCTACTAGTTTGATCTCATCCTGTGTCGACGAACGAACTTGTTCCGGGGCACACCGAAAAATCTGTCTCTTATGGATGATCACCAAATTGCGTCCGACATACCCTAACACTACAGCAGGACCACACCATCGACCACTTTTCTCCAGAGACCCATGAACCCATTTTTGTGACCTCCAAAAGGCTATGTAGGTACCTGGCGCATACGTTGTGGTCACTCGAGGTCTAGCTGCCAGGGCCAAACGAAGGGCCTTGCTGTCTTGCAGATCGAGGACGGCTTTGCGAGCTGCAGCTCGAATAGCCACTTGTTTGGCTACTGCTTCTTCATAGAGAGCTGCAGTGGCAGGGACTATGTCCAACGGCTCGTCCAACAAATTTTCAGGCACTCTCGGATTCTTTCCAAACACAAATTGGGAAGGTGTCATACCATATACCTGAATCAGTTGGTTCTTGCAATGAGCAGCATGGACACAATCCAACCATTCTTCTTGCGTACGGGGTTCATGCTCAGTCAACACTTGGTCTAACACCCTGCTAAACCAACCACCATGAACCTCGACCTTGCCCAGTTGCCAGTGGGCGTCTGCCGCCGTCAGCTTAAATGAGGCGCCGCCCTGTTCAAGGACAAGTGAAAAGGCATCAGCGATGTTTGCCCTGTGCGAATCACAAATCACTTCCTGGGGCATACCAGCCCATGAAACCCACCGTTCCATGAACACTTGACGCATGACCTGAGCTGTCTCTTTCCGGAATATCGGCACCACCATCTGAAGCGAACTGGCAAAGTCCACTATATTAATAGCTGGAATTCGCTGATTGGTCTGCCATCCCTTGAGATACTTAACATCCACCCCTACAACAGCATTGAACTCAGTCACCCTTGTGGTTTGAGCAGGAAGGGCTACCTTGGGGTTCTTTTGGGCTTCGCATTGATCGCACTGGAATCGACGGGCAGCATCGATGGCAGCTACTGATGCTCCTCCATGCTTGAGGACCCTTAGCAGCACGGCTTGAGAAGGATGGCCTAAGTTGTTATGCAACTTACGGAGGCTTGATCTGATCTTATCTTCTGGCTCTTGGTTCAGTTCCTCAAGCGAATGAGCGACGAGACACTCGATGTTCCGGTCATCCATCACTATGAGACACTCAGCTTCCGGGAGTCCTTTGACAGTGCGAAGAACAGCTTTCACAAAGGCTGGAGTGTACTTACCTGCAAAAGTACTGATCGCTCCTACCTGAGGGTGACTGCCGGCCACTACTTGATGTCTGGAGTGATCTCCATGGGACGACCCGGGGCATCGTTTGGCAATTCCCTTCATGCACTCATGTGAGACCAACAAATTTGTGGTCTTCCGGATCAGGTCGCCACCTGGGATTCGAAGGCCATACTGACACATATCGACGACGATCATGTGCATGAACTTGGTCAGTTTCACCATGCTGGGGTGATGCCAAGCTACAGAATCTTTGGGGTGTTCGAACAAACATTGTCCACCATACGAAAACTGCAGTTCCATGAGTTCACAACAAAACTGAATGAACACCCTGGTCCAAAATTCCCGTTGAGCGACCTCCTTATCAGTCATGTGTAGGCGGTTGAGGTGCCACCATCCACCTGCCCACGTGCATGGAGGGCAACACACTAACAACTTGGGTCGGCTTGTTCGAACATGCTCCTTGAGTGCATCACGATCGGCTCGGCGGCGGAAATCCCAACCTGTGCATAAGTCGGCCGACAACACAGACCATCCGACCTTTGCACCTTCAAGCGCAAAACGAGGCGGAGAAAACACTTCGATGATATCAAAGGATGAACCCTTGACAGGACCGGGAGCCTGCAGCTGAGCCATGAGCTGCCGATGTTGTTTGGCAGTCCAGTGCGTGACACTCAGCTTTTCGTCCTGGGCCCCGACGGGGATCGGAACTGACGCATCGGGTCGGAGTTGGAAGATGGTGGTTCCGGTCCACGGCTTCGAATCATGTTTGCGATGGGCTCTCTCCGGATCGGTCCACAAATCTTCTGTTGTTCGGAGGACGGAGGCCGGGCTATCGACGGTAGTAGTTCGACTGGCCTGAAGAAGATGCACGTCGATTGGACACTGTGTGTTGTTTGGTGTGAACAAGGTTTCCCTGGGCTTACGATGGTGTCTAATCACAATGCGTTCTTGAGGCCTATACTCCCAATAGTCTTTCTGTTTTTGGGGATGACGATCATACGCCACCGAGATGCATGCTGTCGGCTCCAGAGTGGCCTGCTCGTCATGGGCCAGCGGCGGAAACATGGTTTGAGCCTGACTTGGGAAATCGGACACCTTGATGGCATACTGTCCAGCTGCATTGACCTCCAGGGGCACCCGAACTCGATCAGGAAAAACTTGCAGGGTGTCACCTGAAAAATCAACTTGAGCCTGCAACTTCTTCAGGGCAGGCCGAGAAAGCAACAAGGGAGCTCTCCCTTTAACTACGGCAGCTGTCACATAGCCGGGGCGTCCGGCCAAGAAGACGGGCATGTCCACCACAGTTTCACTCATTTCTTGTTCACCATTCCCATAGCGGAAACTATTGCGTTCCGCCTTTTCTGGTCGGGGAGCAATACCATGTCTTTGCCAAATGTCCTTAAAGGAGTTCAGCGTGTCGCGACCGATGATTGTTTTCCCGCAGCCGCTGTCCAGTACTGCAAAACCTGGACTGCTCACCAATAGCACTTCATGTTCCTCACAGCGAGCAGCAGTACATACAAAATGTTCAAGTGGCTCACAGACTTGGACAGTTCCTGCAGCATGGCTTGGAGCCTGGTGGGAAGCCGATGACGAAGAGCCCTGGCGACACTCTCGTTGCCAATGTCCCAGTTTTCCGCACTTACGGCATCGTGTCCGTTGCTTCAGCTCCTCCACCTGAACCCTGAAGGACCGTTTGAAGTCCTTGAACGCTCCAGCTCCCTTGCGGGCATCAGGCGCAGAAAAACGACGTCCTTTTTGCACCATGTTCAACTCAGCCCTCTTTTCTTTCCATGTCGCAGCTAAAATCTCAGCTGCCTCTTCCTCCTCGAAGCCCTCTGTGTCACCAGCTGAAAATGAAGGATCCTCTTCATGATGGCCATGTTCGGCCAAAAACAACTCCACATCACGAAACCCGTCATATGACGGCTCGTCCAGGGGTTCTGACACAGAAGAGGGGTCGTCCAAGGTCACAGCGGCAACGGCTCGCTTCTTGGGCACCACATAGTCCGGGAAGCAAGACCTCATCGATTGCGAGACCTGATCAAACTTCAAGTCCCCTTGAGCACGTGCCAGTACGACCGCACGTTGTTCAGCTTGAAGACCACTGCAATTCAGGAGTATCCATCCACGAGCTTCTTCAGGGAATTTCACTCCAGTCTTTCGCGCACAGCGGTCGAAGGTTTCACGGCTTCGAGCACACCATTGGCGGACACTCTCGCCCTCTGTCGCCTTCAGGGCGAATACAGCAGCTATGTTTTCTCCTATCTCATCTGTCCGGTCCAATTCCGGCCAACGTTTGTCAAGGAGGTCGAAGATCACCTTGTCCCCGCCCTTGACCTGGTAGTCACTCTCCTTGAGGTGCTCGATAACCTCGAGCGCACGGCCAGAAAGAAGAGTCCAAACAAAAGATCCACGAGAATCTTCAGCCAGCTTGTCCATGGTCCGCATTTTGTTCACGACCCATTGTTTCCACCTCCTATACTCTCGGTGATCACAGTCTTCTCCGTTGAAATAACGGAGAGAAGTGCCAGCCTCCATAGCAGCACGGTCGACGACCTAGGTATGCGTCCAGCACACCGAATCCTACAGGAGTCAGGATTTTACCTGCTCCGCTACCAATGATGGTAGCCCTTGCTCCGCGCACCACGCGGACCTGTTTTCCTCTTGGGCGTAAAAGTCCCTGCACGGTCGACCAAATCAACAATATATAGTTATATATATATATCATTTGTCTAAACAACACATGTTTTTCAAATGCTTACATTGGAATATCAACGCTGGACAATTGTTGCGGTGCATCTACTGCTGCTGAATTCCATAATTGCGGCGTTCCAGCTCCGTGATTGCATGGCGTGATGGCACGCCAACATTGGGTTGTTTCAAGCAGGGTCAATCATGTAGATTCTTGATTGATACAACCTTCCGATATCTTCCGTATGAAGAGGTTGTGTGATCCAAATGGGGAGGGGTTATGAATCAAAAGTCTACACTATGTCAATTTCTAGATATCAAATGATATCAACATTCTTCACCCCAAAAGATCTCGCACTTCAAACGCATCGGATGCATTCGGATGGGCCATTTGAATGCCATCGACACAGATAGGCTGTCCATGTCTTTGGCCATCGAAGATTGGTGTTGCAGGATTGGTGTTTGCAGCGCTACTTGACCTAATTGTCCCTCCAAGAAAGATGACAGTTGTTGGCATGACCCCGAAAGGAGCATATCTCAGGATGTGTTCAATATTCATGAGTTTTCCGCTTCCTTGCTTGGTGGAGGGAGAGTAAGATGCGCTACGTGCCCCCAATTGGTGGCAGGTAAGTCATGGGTGTCGTGTGACGTGTACACAAAAAGTGGGAAAAAAGGTCAAAAACACGGTCAAACAGGCCATACTGCGTGCGTCTCGGCCATACTTCTTCATCGGTCTCCGTGCGCTCCAGGAACCTTGCCTGGTGAACATTTGTGATGACCCTTTGTTGTCAGGCACAGCACCGGGGTCGATGGCCGGTACCCGTGCCGTTCCGGTAGTCGTGCCGTTCTGGTACCCGTGCCGTTGCTGGTGTTTCATGGAGTGTGGAGTCGGAGGAAGTGGGTTAAGAGTCCCGCCGCGAGCGAGGGAATCCGAGCTGGAATTGAGGAGTGCTTATCTCGTACTCCTTGGAGTCTTCATGATGCAACGAATTCCGGATCACCGATCTGGAATCTTGGTCAGCTTCTGTGGGAAGTGTGATACTGCATGATACTGCATTTTTCTTTTGATTTTTCCTGGAGATGCACAACATCACTTTGGGAGCTTGGAGGTTGATCTTCAGGTCTTCCAGTCAGACACTCTGTTGACGATACGACGCATTTGCCACGACAGGATGGACAGAATTGGACAGACCGTTTTTCTCGTTTCCAGGCTGTTTGCGCTACTCTCTTCCAGCCAATCACCTGGTCTGGAGCTTAGAAGCCAAAGGAGAATGGCAAGGATCAGTTGCTGAACCCCGAGCATACCTGATGATCCACCAGAGAAAAGGTATGTATTTGGCCACTTCCTCCAGTGGATCTCATCCTGAGGTTCAAGCTTAGCCAAAGGTTGAAGGCTATATAACAATTCTTTCACCCTGCAACCTGCATGTAACTTATAGTTTGGGTTTTATGTTTGGAGGGTTTTCCAGGACTCTTTAACGAAGACAAGACAATGGTTCTCTGGGTGGTCATTCCATACCATCCAATGAACTACCAACAAACTTCAGTGGGACCCATGTATTGGATTGAGGACGTAATGTGCAATACAGTGACAAGTCTCAAGCCAATGAAATCCTCAAGTTTGAAACCGCATTTGATGTTTAGACGAGGTTCGATGTTGTTTACGCTGCATGTGTATTGCAATAATGGATTTGGTGCAGTTTTGTATTTGAGGTAAGCGACTGTTCTGCCTGGCAACGCTAGGTTTAGATCAACTCTCATTCAGTGTAAACTTCCCCATGTTGGTTCAGGGTCTCTTTGTCTCGGCCTTGACAAGCTTGCTAACCTGCAGCTGTTTTGGTCATGAGTTTGCCCGTTGTTTTGGTCTTTTTACACAATCGTGCTCACTGATCGGTGCTTTCACTGTCTGACTGTTGCGGTATTCGATCGATGCCTTCACCGTCTTTCTCTTCTCCGATCGAAGAGAGGATCGAGGCGCTCCGATCGAAATTTCCATGACCGAACACCGGGGCGCCCCTGACGCGTTGACTCGTGGGGTAGCAGGGGCTTTGTGGCTGAGCTTCCTTTTCAGGATACGCCGGTTGGCTCGTGGGACCCATGGCCTTTGGATCAGTTGGGGATGGACATGGGCATGACATGGACATGACACCTACAATGGTGAATACAAAAGGTCGCATGTTTTTGCCTGCGGATTGAAAACCGAACGTGTAGTCATAGTACTTTTATTACTCTCAACTTCGACACCACTTCATATACTTTCAACTTCGACACCATTTAAGATAACACCACTCCAAAACGCGGCCCACGAATCCTGTCCCTCCAAGAATAACATCACCACGGAACTGAGGCGAAACCATGATATTGCCGAATCCCATTGTGAACTCCACATGAAACAATTGAACCGGCATCAAATATGAGCTTAACACGCAGGTTTCGTGAACCACACAAGAATGACTGCTACTCCTAAACACACACACACACACACACGTCTACACGTTGAGTTTTCAACCTGCCGGTAGTTCAGATTTGGTGATCTCTAATCCTGTGTTTGAAATGAATAGGGCAATCTCTGGAACCTGCTAGGCCATTCTCCTCAATTTGACACTGGCCTATGTCTTTTGAGTTGTCGTTTGTGTTCCAAGAGATTGAATTCCTGTTCCCTTTTGGGTCTGGAACACCCAGCTCGGTGGTCTTCAGAGGGGTGAAACCCATTCCTGGGACCACTGTGCACCAGGATGAGAGTCACTGAGGTGCACATTGGCAGCAGTTCGCGTGGGCCACAGATCTGTGGCAGCTGCAAGACGGGTCTTTCAAAATCAGAGACGTCCAGGCCAAGTCCACCAATGGTTTGTTGTGGATTTGGAGAGGTTTGTGAGAGGTCAAGGTCATGGATCTATTTAACCTCAATGAAGAGTTGAGAGTTTGCTTCGCTACACTCCCTGTAACTCACATGGAGGGAACATTATATCATGAATTATATCAACAAAGTCAGGAGACACACACTTTGCCTTTTTCTTGTCGTTCCGCCGGTCATTCCGGCACTGGAACGGAGACATCAACGGAGGCCGAGTGGTTCGATGGATCGACCGTCCATCTTCCGGTTTTTTAGGTCTGAGCTCAAGGGCTTGAGCCCGAATGACCAGGACTCTCTTGGACTTGTTACTAATAGCTTCTTGTTTCTAATGTTTTCATCCGTTTCCTGGTTTCTTGTGTTGGACATGATGACATGTTGTTCTTCTCTGAAAGATAAACAGGATTCAGTGAGCTTGTACGAGATGTCGCCTGAAAGATATGGCACCGTGACGTTTTTCATACCAGCGCCACGCCATTGCTTGCTTCGGGGTGTGTACAAATTTGAACATAAGATATCAAAAGATGCCGTAATACGATGCCAGCATTCCAGACCAAACCTGAGGCGTAAAGTGACAAACGGACAAACGGTGTTTGTCTAATTACTGCAAATAATCGTTTCTTTTTTTTGAGAGGAGCCTTCCAGCTTTCGCTCCAGCTCTCAGCGGCACCACTAGTGAAGGATCTATACATCTTCCTGCAATACAGCGATCCACCCTTCTTGAATCTTCCATCAATGAGAAGATGCGCTATATTTCGTTTTGCTTTTCCTTTGATGCCACCGTCGCTCTTTCGGGGATCGACCCAGGACGAACGCGCTCGAACGCGGCCGAACGCGTGTGGACACGGCCCCCCCAGGTCCTGCCAGATCCACGTGGACGGGCTCGGCATCCAGCCGGAGCGACGGCACGGTCCGTTACGCCGACCGGGTACGGCCGGTGGGCTTCCAGTGGATCGGTGTGCAGTCTTAGAGTAACGAATCCCAACATGGCCAAGTTCTGTCCGGAAAAACATGCGGTTTTCAAAACCGGACTTGATTTAAGATCATCTCCACCTAGTACTTACATCATACATCCTTGTCCTCTCATTCTTTTTTTGTTTCATCATTTAGCATCATTTGTCTTTCTGTTTTCTTTCTACATTTTGGAAGAGCTACCAGGGTATGTTGGAATTTGCAACTGTTGATGTGGACGGACTGTTTGCAGCGTCGAGATACCGCAGGATCTTCCAAATCATTCCAAATCTACAGACATGGACTCTCAGGCCAGTGTTCCAGACATGATCGTTACAGAATGTTACAGACTCTTTGTTTTTTCCTTTCTTTCGTGACCCCCGGGGTATCAGGAGATGTGCTCAGTGGTGTGGCGCCCGGGGCATGATGTGGAAATTCAGGCATCGTGCCGCACTGGGGAACACGGGACAGACACGTGAGCAGAAGACTGTCATGGCTGCTGGTGACATGGCAGAGTGAGGGCCGGCCCTTCTGTAACCCTCATAACCATATAACACTGATCAATATACTTAATATCTATTGGCTCAGAGATGATGTCTCAAACCAATGCAGAATCTTTACTTCTTCAACCCCCGGACCGCGCTTGAAACGTCTTGGGCTACAGCCCATCTGGACAAATGGCGAGGAGGGAAGAAACCGAACCTATCCAGGGATTCGGGGTGGATGTGTAGACAGGTACCGTAGATGTGTACCTAAAACCTGAGTGATTTATATGTTTGACCACCAACCACTCAAGATATGGTTTCCTATCAAAACAGGGGTAAAATATGGTAAAATCATGTCTGGGCTCCAGGTATGTATTAACAGATGCACCTGCGAAGGCGTGAATGTGTATGTCCACACCGACCAATGAGCCAATGGCACGGAATGGCCCATCGACATGCTATTCTTCCTTGTTGTTTTTTCCGTACAACCTGGAACAGTACCTTCTCCCATGTCAGGCATCAGCAGAGCGTCATCCAGGAAAGAGAACCCGGCTTCCTGGTCGTTTGCACCAGCACCAGCATAATGGTCCTGAAACATAGATAGAAACGATCTTGAAAACATCTTTGCAGTTCCCTTCTTTTTCGCTCCAGGTGGGTTTGCACGGAGCCACCCCCAAACAATTTGTTTCACCCTCCAACAGAACGCACCCCCACTTCTCTGTGGGTTTGGATGGGGTTTGTGATTTGTTGAGAGACTTCGCAAGCTAGTTACACCAGCCCCGTTGTTCCACTTCCACATCACCCGCTGGCTGACTTAGAGACCACCTTGACTGATTGGTCAGGTGGAAGCTGGCGGACAACCGACCAGGCGAGGAGATCTGTAGTCGCCAGAAATCTGCAGCTCTTCAGGTCAAAACCTCAAGAGGAGATCTGTTAGGAAATCTTTTGGAGTTGCTGGCAGGGTTTGGTCAATTCGCGAATAGCCAAAGGTGAAAGCGCAGATCTGTCAGGTGAAAGCCATACTGTAGGGCTCTGTGACCACCTTTTGACCCTCTAAAAGCAGCGGGCCCATGTGGGCCCCATGCTTCGAAACGGAGGGCAAGCACTCGTCAGTTGCGGGGCTTGATCAACAAGCTACCAGCTAGCAGCTAGCAGATTCAATAGGACTTGTTCATCTCTGTTGCAAAGGGCCAAGACACCTCAAAAGTCAAGTGAGGCCTCGCGGCCTCACCCTTTTGCCTTTGTTTCTGAACCAGACACGAATGATTCTGCTCAGAGATGCCCCTCGTTCCCTTCCGATCCACCTCGGCCCAAGTTTCCACTTCGACGCCGTTGGACCGGTCTCCCGGCAGTCCGGGAGTCAATGCGACACTTCCCGAAGCGTCCCGAAGGGTCGACTCTTGATTATACCACCCAGAGGCAGAAGAGGATGTTCCATTTATGGTTTGCTTTCGCTTGATGAATGTAACGAGTCTACATGACGTTCGTCGCGGCCGCGAGGCCGACGGCCCTCCACAAGATCGGTCCACCCAAGGCGCCGGTGACGGCCTGCGGCGAAGGGGAGGGGAAGACCGAAATCCGACCGGTTCAAGAACACTGTGTCTTCGAGTTCAATTCGACTTGGACTTGGGAGATCTGAACTTGTGAAGATGCATCTTGATTCAGGTTTACTGTTCTCCATGTTTTTGAAGAGCTTCCGAGCCTCGAGGAACCTCCCCAGACAAGCAGCTTTTCAATGACCTCGAGGTCCCCCTTGAATCAATATGCCCAGAGGCTCATGGACCCTCAAACTGCTACATGTTGGTGGACTCTCCCAAACCCTAGTTGTTATCGTCAACCCCCCTAGCTACTGTATGATCTGTATCAGGGTCCTTTCTGAGCCGTATTGAATGAACTGGACGAGGTGAAGGCCTTCCGGAATTCCTTGACCTCGCGTGGTGGGCCCTCGAGGTGCTGATCAATGGCCAACAAGTTTCAGACTACGCTTCGCTCCGGTGCGCCCAGACTCCAACCGATTGCTTGGGTGTGGCGAGTAGGGAGCTCTAGGGTGGAGGCCATCGCTACTAGCATGCAGCATTCTTGCTATTAGTAACAGACAATTCATTTGATAATTCTGGAATCCTTCTGATCCGATCCTTCTTCCATCTGCGGTTTTTCACATCACTTGTCGTGGGCCTTGCGATAGTTTTTCTCCCAGATGCGACGTTTGGTTCAGACTGCGGAGAAGCTCCCTCTGTCGTACCGGTTCCTTCAGGACGGGCGATGTCCTTCAAGTGGGACATGGACACATGCCCGGGCTTCCAAGAGCAGGGAGTTGGCGGCTGGGATTTGCTGAGGCAGCGTGCAGACGCTCTTCTGAAAGGACCCCGGGACACCGGAGGTGGACATGGAGAACACGTAGGGTAGTCGAACTGAAAAGAAGTGGAATATGGCCAGGTGCCTGAAGAGTGCCATGGAATCCCAACGCCGTGGGAGGCCCTTGGACATATTTGAACACACCAGATGTTTGTGTGACCCAATGCCGGTCCAAGTTGTAGGTGGAACAACGGCGAACATATGTGAACATCATGATTAGAGCATCACCACAGAGGATTGACGTGCGCCACCAGCTGTTCGGAAGACTTTTAAAGGGAAGACTTGCACAGACTACTCCGATCATGCTGCACAGACTACTCAGATCCATCTTGGTTGCTTGATTTGATTCCGTCACATTCCGTGCACTCGAAGAATTACATATAGGAATTACATTGAATTACTGTGCACCGACACCAGGTGATGTTGCACCAGGTGATGTACACGATCATGAATCTCAGGTAGTTACAATCCCAGGTAGTGCAGGAATGATGTCCTCCTTCTCCACCGTTGATGGATACAACTACATCTCCATTTGGAGTTTATGATTAATCAACGTAGCGAATCAACAGTCAACATTCACCGTCACCGTCACCCTAGGCCTCCAACCACCATTGATTTAATAGCCTTTGCTGAACAACCATTGGTTTACTAAGGATTTTACATTCCAAAACCAGGTCAACCTTTCTTTTATTGTTCTTGGAAGAGGGGTCACCTGGTTGAAGGCATCTGCCGCGGACCGGTGTGAACCTGAGGTTCCAGTTGCTGTCGCAGCCCTCTCGACAAGCCTGCACGCGTGCGAAGCCTCGTGAAGGTGCTGCTGGCACAAAATTTGGATCGGGACAGGGAAAGTGTGAAGAGAGGTGGCTGAGTTGTTCGGAATTGCATACTGTAGCGGTCGGTCACATCAACAGAGACGCTTTCCAGCCTTGTTTGAGCCACAATTATCTAAAAGGAATTAAAAAGAACACATACGACATAGACGACTTCAAAGAGTACACGCTCAGATTTGGTTTTGCCAGAGTCTGCCCATGCCTTTGTATTTGCAATCCCAACACTCCTCTTGGAGTGGTGGAGCCCAGTTCTCGACGCTGCGCAACAGTTGGTTTCTTCGATGTGCAACGGCCGATGTTTCACGTTGGCGCGGAACCAGCGCCGAAACGTCTTGGGCCAGTCAGTCAGTGCCACTGAACGTCTCAGGACAGTTGGTGGATGCTGGAGTCATCGAAGATTTGGAGGTGATCGATGGATCAGATCTGATCTGGTTGGGAGGGGACCGTTGTACCAGATGGAGGGTGTTGCAGATTGAACGAGAACAACTCGTGCCCAAGAGAGAAGATCATGAATCATGAACCAGTTTCTAATTCGGGGTGGTTTGTGTGGACACCACCTTAGCCAAGCTGTTCGGATCCAGTTTTTCAAAAAATTGCTTGATTGACTTCAAAAGTCCTGGAGTTTTGCAGAGGTTTTTGTTTTTTGAAGAAATCCCCCGCTGGCCAGTTTTCTATGCACTCGCGATTCGATACATGACTCAGAACCATACTCCCCCAGTGGCACCAAGTCCATCCAAGTCCCGTCAGGAGGATCAAGAGGTATCGAACGATGACACACCTCTGGCTCACCCGGAATGTTCGGTAAACTTCGGTCACCAACCACCTGGACCCCTAATTAGGGGATACCTATTTCATAGCCCATAGCCCCTTACGGTTAAGGGTTACGGTACAGATTGTTTTTCGGGGTGTCCATAAACCACCCCTTGTGGGTGCCTCCCTGTGGCTCCTTTTCTCCTCCAAGCGCAGGCGGAGTTTGGGGTGGAGAGTGCGGCCGGAGTGGCCGGGAAGCCCATATGGGCGACGGAAAGGTTTGGGATGTTGGGAACTGATAGGACTGATAGGAATGTTGCGGAGGAAACATGAGTGCATGTGACTGTGTCTGAAAATCGCATGGATTTGATGAAATTCATGGCTTTGGGGATAGCTGACCCTTTGACTTGAAGGGGTGCAGTTAAGCAGTTACGGAGTAGTATGTTGAGGGTATCGGTGTGGACCCTCCGGTGGCAAGGACCCGTCATGGGTCAAGACTTGACACTCCGAGGGTAGAGTTGGCTGTTGATTTGTTGGGATCAGCTTCCTGCTTGGCTGAAAGCCGAATCAAGGATCACAGTTGGCACTTTTCAGCTTTCGTCCAAAACCACAGCTGACAGATGGAAACCGGCCCACCAGTGTGGCCCCCACCATTGAGATCCATTGACATTGAGGTCTTCCCTTCGTACAGTATCTTTTGCTATGGCATTATAGCCTATATATATATATATATGTTGCATGCCTACAGGCTTGTTATTCAACACATTGGTCTCAGATCTGTCAGGCTCTTCCTGGCCTTGGGCAGGCTGAAAGCTTGGGGCTCCCCCCGAATGGTGGTCCATTTCAAGGCCTTCCCGTGTGGCCACGATGCGCGCCCCGAGTCAACGTAGATCGTTGCAACTCTGACGCTCCTCCTTGCCCTCAGGTGGGTGTGCTACAGGACACGGCCATTCGGCCTGGACAGGTGGTCTCAAGATCTCCCGTACGCACGGGACGTACGGCGATTTCACATGGTTTCACCTTGAATTTCTTACATATCCAGTATCATATTATGACTATTATGTACATACATTTTGGCTGGTTTTATAGATGAAAAGGCAGACATTTGTCACAGTTGGAAGATCCAGGTATGAGATATTCTACTGGGGATTAGTCTTCCAGCATTCCATTGATCCTGCCTTTGTCTTTGTTGGGTCAGTACAAGTGCAGGTTGCAGGGGTTCGGCAAAGGGCCTCTCTGAGCATATGGTCCTCTCATGTCCTGTACTCCTGCACTTTTTCTTGCTTATCCGCTCGATGTTTGTTTGTCTCACACGACATGATCTTGAAAAATCAGATCATGCTTCTAAAGACGACGTATCAATTCAAATTTCCCTTAGGCACCTTGTCTGGACGCCCGTGCCGTGCACGTGGTGCACGCACGTGCACCATGCCCACCCTGCAGGAGCTTCAGCCCTTGCTGGAAGAAGCTGGCGACCTCACACAGGAGCTGCGGGGAGAACGTTTGGCCGTGGCGACCCAGATCCGATCGTGAAGCTGCCGTCAGGGGTGAACAAGGGAGATCCGGATCCCAACAAAATGGCCAGGACACAAATTGTTGATCCGGTGATTTCATCCCAACATGGATCCGAATTGGTTTTGACATGCAAAAAGATGACCCATACCTGAGGGCGTCAAGCAAGGGAGGTCTTAGAGGGTGAAGAAAGAAACACACGTGGTTGAACACACTGTGGGTCAAACCCGAACCAAAAGTAGCAAGACAATGCAGCCAGATGAGAGGTGCACCTTCTCCTCACCGTCCACACCCTTCTCTTCCATGCTTTCGTGTCCCAGGGTTTTGCTGGGTCTTCGACCCATGCTGGAGGATATGAGACTTCTCACTGCTAGGTGTGCATAAACATAGGGAGACCATCCCAGTTCAGTTCCGGAAAATCGACTCATCTCCGAAGTGGGTGGTAGATGTGTCGCGTCGGAGTGACCTGGGGGCCCGGTCAAACGGGTTTTGCCCCACAGCCGTGGGGCGGACGACCTGATACTGCAGTCAATTCCCTCCACGGGGGGAAACCGTTTCCCCCCCGCAGCCAGGTCTTTCAAGCCGAAGTCTTGCACCAAAACCTGGGTTCGCCCACTGACAGGCGCCCAGATCCGATTTGGAACCTGCCGAAATGGGGATGTTCTTCTGGGATCAATGTTAGTGTTTTGGACTCCCCTAAACTGGTTGACCAAGCTTACGTAGACTAACTAGAGAAATTCATTGGCTGTTTCCATGTTTTCTATTTTTTGTTGCAAACCGTATATTTTGATTTTGTGCCTTCTGTATATAGTACAGAGAATTCTGGCAGGTTCGTAGTAGCTGGGTTCTAACGCGGCGCTATTCCCGGGACCCACACATTTTTTCTGTGTGGTACTTGTACTTGCAAAAAATGCAAACAAGTAAGTGCAAGATCCCAAGTGGTCAGCGCCCGAAATATTTTTGAAAGGCAAGAACATCAACATGGAACATTGTGCTACTTCTACTCCCAAACTTGTGGTGTTTTGACGGTCCAGGGTCCCCGGCAGTGCAAGGAAAGCATTGACCTCTCCACACAAAGAGAGTATGTTACAGGATCTTCTTTTCACCAGGCAGACTGGCCTCTCCGATGGGCATCACCTTGTCAGGTACCTCTCTCCAACATTGGTTCGTGGTTCGTGGAGAGTTTACAGAGTTTGCCTTTTGTTTGGACGTCGAGCAAAAAACTTAAACACGTTTTCCTTTCAAGCGCCATGCCATCCACGTCACAATGCCGCCGCCGCGCCATCTGCTGCGTCGGTCAGGCCTTCTGTGCCCGAGATCGTGGTGGCCTTGCGCGCCCAAGGTGGGTGAAACTAGCAATCTCAATTGAATCACAAAGAAAGAGAGAGAGAGAGAGAATAAAAAAAGAAAGAAAGAAAAGAAAAGAAAAGAAAAGAACAGAAAAGAAAAGAAAGAAAGAAAGAAAGAAAGAAGAAAGAACGATGGTTTATACATGGACTGCTACTAGGTAATGATCCATCCAAAACCTGTCCTTTGGACAGTGCTCAGCACAAAGTAACATAGGTAACATAGGTATGCTCTAGTACTGGTATCAGCATCCCAACAACCCTTAGCTTTCCAAGCGATGAATCTGACTGGCTAAGCCTTTGGTCAGTCCACACTGGTCTCTGAGATGGGTGGATGCGACAGACTTCCCAACTTCAGTCCCAGCCTGATGGAGCGAGCTCCACCGAGCCCAGCTCCACCGAGCCACGCTGCGCCCAGGTGGACCGGCTGCGCCTCTTCTCACGGTGCGGGGCGCTGGTCGGGACGGAGGTAACATGTCGACGGCTCATGTTTTTCTCTGATGTTGTTTGCATGAATGGTGCTACCACCAGGGACAGACTCCCTCATGTAATGGAAAAAGCAAGATGATTACAAAGCACACTCATCACATCTCATCACATCTCATCACTCAGCCTTGTCTCAAAGGGATCCTCTCCACTAGGCAGCGCTTTTTTGGAATGGCACGGTTTTTGATAGCCAAAAGCATCCTTTTACCATCCAGCGGGGAAGGGTTTCTCGGTTCCAAACTGGCAGATGCCAAACGCGCTGGCACTGGCGGATGCACCAACCCTACCCTTCAGACCTGGGTTCCGTATCCAATTCTGCGAACGCGTCTATGTCAGGGAACTCGAGAGAAATACTCTTTTGATCAGAAACAAATTAGAATAGAAGAACTAGAACTCCTAGTCAAGTCTCCTTTAAAACCCCACATACTTTGATGGCTCTTCACCATCGCAGAAGCACAGTATCCTGACAATATCGCTGGCTCTTGGAATGTGAGTGTTTTTTGTCCCTGCAGACATTCTAAGAGTGTAACGGAGATCTATTTTGGGTCTGTCCTATTACCTGTAACTGTCGGTAATCGATTATGACTATTTCAGAGAAAGGCCTTCAGCAACCATCATGATCTACTGTTACTGGTAATGGGATAGACCCAAAGTATTGTTCCTTCTTCATTCACTGCTCCTCTTGTTCCCGCGCGTTTGGACTTCGTGATCGCCTTTTGACCCACCGCCGAGTGCACCGAGCAGAGCGTTGCGCTCCTGTGATCGACAGGTGTGGTCCATTGAGAAGTTCAAGGAAAAGCTCGAGGCACAGCTGCTCAGCCGCTTTCGAGCGCGCGCGATCAAGCGAAGTCCTGTGGGCATGATGATGTAAGTGGCAGGGATTTCCACCAGGGCGTTTGGCATGTGTGCCATCCCGGTGACCAGGAGGGAAAGAAGAAGTCATCACCGGAGTTCACGATCATTTCTCGTCTCACAGCTGCTTTGAGGAGATCCTTCTTTTGTGATACTGAGGTATGTTTGTGTGTGCCGTGAGGATCCCTGAGGTGGCACAAAGTGAATTATATATATAGGTTTAGACAAGAACCACGAAGACTTTTGGTAGGTTTGCCAGTTTCTTTCGGCCTGTAGCCGTGAATCTCTGGCAGGGTCGTCTCGACGGGTTTGTTGGTCGGCTGCCAGCTAGATGTGTCTTCGTTCATCCCATTGGTTGGGCTTCTCTTCAGATTCCACCCACGTGCATCCCCCGGGACGGGCCCCAGACCCCAATGGCGCAAGAGGTTCCCAATGATGATGAAGGGTGTACAGGGTTGAGAATGTTCCCAGGTGACCGCAGGTTCTGCACCAAGTTCATCTGATCCCGCCAGTCAGATGGGACCTTAAAAAACTGTCAAGAGCTCCATGCTCTTGAGCGTGGCCCAACTCTGGTGGCAGGTCGAGGACCGTTTTTGTTGTCTGACAGTCTTAGCATCGTAGGGTCCTGGTTTTGGAGGGAAAAGAATTGAGGAGATCTCCCTGTAACTGTAAACCGTTCTTTCTTTTCCTCGAGGGAATTGGCGGTAGGTCCTATCTGAGTGTCGCCAACTGGGCTCTTTGAGGGCAAAAGGCCGATCCCAACTTTAGCTGGAGCGGCTCGAACACGTGCGATGCTCGGAACGCCAGCGTGTTCCCAAGTGAAGCTACTCAAACTCCATGTAGTGTTAGTGCCCAGCGAGGAGCCAACATGGGAGGATCCACCATTTTTTTTTTTGTGTGAAATTTGACATATTCCGAGGATGAGTTTAGGTGTTGGGCATGTGGCGTGTGGGGCAAAGGCAGCAGGCTGCTTCCGATCCTACCCGAACCAAAATAGTCGCTCTCTTCTTAAACATGGATTGCGTGTCTTTCAGTGCTTTAGATCAGACAAACACAGGACAGACAAGACAGAGCACAGGGGGCTCGCTAGGCATCCCACATGAATGGCCCAGCTGACCTGCGGACATTAGACATCTCCTTCCCTGTTTCTTTTTTTGCATCCAACCTTTTTCAGGCATCACCGCACCAAGATGGAGTGCACCCCTCAGTCCTTCCTACCCATACCGCCGAAGCGCCTCACCTAACCGCGGCGCCCATGGAGTACACGCCGCGGGGCCGGGTGCCCGTGTCGGAGCCCATCTCCCCGGTGGCCCAGCGCGTGGCCCTGAGCGGCCCTGCGTCGGAGCCGGGAGGTGCGGGCGTGGCGAGCTCACGGGAAGGATGGCCCTGGCAGTGGCTTGGCGGGGACTGGAAGCCTCTGAGGCCTCTGAGGCGGTCCTGAAGCGGTCCAGATGCGTAAGATGGCTGTAAGGATAGGGTTTATGGGGTTACACCAGGCACTTTTCTGTTTCTTTCATTAAACATAGTGTTTCGTAGATAGGTCTACATGGAAAAAAAGGCATGGGTCTCGCTGCAACGAGCTGTGCATGGGATTTCGACATAATTTCGACAGCCTTTTGTTGGACTGGGTTGGTGGCGGCAGCGATCTATAACTATAACATTCAGGTATGCAAGTAGTCTGGGCAATCCTGACCCGTAGGGCTGCTGGGCAAGCCCGGACTTAAGGACTTAAGCGAGTTAGGGTCGACTCTCGGGGGGCCAGCGGGTAAGCCCCTTGTTTTGTGTTGTTATCAGAAAGTTGCATATTTGGTAGGATCATTCAGATTGGATATATTATGATAATCATTGATAATCACATATCATATTAGTCACATTGACACATTGTATGTTGTGAAGGGCAATCCCAGACATTTGTGCACCCTTTTCAGGATTGTCAAACGCAAGAATCCTTGATGGGACCAGGATTTCAGGAATTATTTAGACACTCCTTACAGTAGGATGTGTAGGTAATCAAAGCACAGGATTGCTTGCATGCGGCATGGTGGCACCAACTCTAAGCTGCACAAACACCTGAATCCATGTTCGAACTCTTCTGGAACAGCCCCCTGTAGGCCTTGGAATTCTGTGAAACATCCAAATACACCCAAATTGGGACCCAACTCACTTGTTTTTCACCAACACCAACACCAATCTCTCTTACCCCTGGTAACTAACCACTGCCCCAACCCATCCAATCGTCTCCAACTCCCTCCACCCCTCCCTCCCAATCCGACCACAAAGCCACACCAACCCCACTTTACTCCCTCAAAACTTCACGAATCAGCTCCCAACCCCAACTCCATCCAACTCCATCCATCGCCGCTCTGAGGTTCCAGCTGAACCCGCGCAGAAGCGAGGAGCGTCCGCTGACCGCCACGCGGAAGGCGAGTCCGGTGGCGACCCAGCTGCGGGCGCTGAGCGGCGGCCGCGGACAGGTGGTGAACGCCACGGCTCGTGCATCCTACGTGGCTCGGTGGGAAGGGCGAAAAGGAACTGCGGCTGGGCCCAGTAGAGTCAAGGGGTGGGGTAGGGGTAGGGATAGCGAAGGGAGACTTTAAGGGAGACCCCCCAAAATGGCAGAATTTGTCTGCAGGAGTGTTGTGATTGGGATTGTGAGTTGCAGTGATAGGGGGCCGTGACAGAATAGAAGATGGGAAATGAAGAGAACAGAGGAATCGGAAGTGCAGGTTGGTCGGTTTGGATTCGGAGACTCTGAGCCCGGGATTCGCGATCCCCCAAAAACACCGAGACATTGATTCCTGCCAGATCGCCAGACATGGAAATTCGATGTAAAAGAAGAGAGAACATGCCATGGTTCTTTTGGGATGTCCATCTCTTTGGGACAGTGGACACACCTCTTTGACCCGAACACCTGCGAACCCCTGCTGTCCGACGGCACCCGGCAATCGCCTCGCCGGTGGGGGCTCGACCGGCCGAGACGTTGGTCTCAGGAGACCGCGGTGATTGCCGCGGTGCGTCGGCAGTGCGACATCTTCGAGGAGAAGTGGGAGAAGAAATTGAGACAGGTCACTGGGCGTGTTTTCTGAGAAGTGGAGGGAGAAATGGGTCCCACCACCGCAAGAGATGGTGGGCCTGAGGACCCATATGAGCAACGAGCTCACATGGTGGACGAGTAACCCAAAGTAAGAAAAATGCTTTGCACAACTGCCGTGTCACATGTTCCTCTTGATCTTCTTGTTGAACACCGTGCATGTTTGTGGATCCAGTCCTGATCACAGAGCTTCGAAAGCAATCAGCGGATACCAGCGATGTTAATTGTTTATGGCTAGCTCCTGTGGATTCAGCGCGCAGGTGACAGTCACAAGTGCATCAAACAGAAGTATAACAGTTTTGGGCTCCAGGAATTTGGAAACGCACTCACTGGACTGACAAGAAAGGCCCTAGCCTAGAATACAATGGAAATACGGCCTGAAAGACTAGACGTTGGTGAAGCTAGGAACAGCGTTCCTTACCAATCAATGCATGAATCCCCTAGATAACCTTAGATAGTAGATGATAGTAGGGAATTCATGTACGAATATTTTTGGGAACAAACACTCTAACACCTTTTGGAATTGTAAGATTTCAGGGGTAAAAGATGTTGATCACCACAAGCGTTTTGGCCGGCTTCTGGAGTATTCGTTTCACATGTTCTGAGTGTTCTTCTTTGCTCAAGTTTGCCTTGTGAACACACAACCTATACCTCTACAAGTTGTACCAGTTGTACCAGAGGCCCCGTCCCGGCCGTCCCGTTTCGGAGCATTCGGAGCACGGCACCGGAGCACCCGCCCAAGGACCGGAAGGACTCGACGACGGGGCCCAGCCTGGTGCCTTGGAGTGAGGAAGCGTTGTCGCCGACACGTAAGGCCAGGAGCGACCACGAAAGCGTCTTTGTTCCGTTCGTAGCGATGCCCTTTGTTACGTTCGTAGCTTCTTGTTACTAGTAGTATTGCCAGGAGCTACTAACAACGTCCGGTCACCTTGGAGTTTTTTTTTGAATCTCAGGATCGCATGAAGAGAATACGAGAATCAGACTGATCTGCTGATGGTGGTCTAATAGAGAAACTGATCGTATCATTCGATGTTTTCGATTTTTTTGATTCACTTTCTGCCTCTTCACTCTTCACTCTGGAAAGGGTTGATTTGACCCATTCTTAGCAGTCAACCATGCATGGCTGGCAAAGTCGAAGAAGACCACAAAGCTATCGCTTAGCGGTGCCCTGCGCTACAGCGTCCCATGTTGGGATGACATCCAAGTGATGGCCGGGGCGGCGAGAGAAGGGCTGAGCAATTCAAGCTAATGAACAAACCACGTAAATCTGGGTTGATGAATTCTCATGATGATCATGTTTCATGTGAGGTACCATCAAACGAAAGGGCATCTCACGGTGTCACCTGTATGGCTGATAAAGGCCATCGGAAAACCACGGAAAACCTGAAGGAAGACACATAGTAGGAGGAAGATCGAAAGGAAGAAGAGATCGTATGGGTGTGTTTCAAATAGGGAGATCTCCCAGGCAACGACCCCCTGGAAGAAGAGACATAGACCAGTCTACCCATTGGGCCAGGGGGGTTAACTTCAACGAGAAAGACCTCGCACCCCAAAGAAGTCGTCAATTGAACTGTGCAGGTGCTGTCCAGTGCAGGGTGCTGATAGAGCTTGAGCAACCATACTAGCTGGCATGATGTGAAGTTAGGTCAAACTTGAAGCACTCAAATCGACAGATATGTCTCATGATTTCTCACTTCGAGATCTGGAATTGACCCTTAAAACTCCAACCGGTACTTATGACATGTGCACATGTGCACTAACATGCGGATCGGTGGGGTTCCTGTAAAACGGCGCCTGGAGAGGATGGGGGCTGTCATGACACGCTCGGGGTTCTGAGGATCGGCTTTTCGATCGCGTGAACGCTTTAGAAGCCCAACAGCCACGGGTGGAGAAGCGGCTCGCAGAGCTGGACGGCAAGGTGGGGTCGACTGGTGGGTCGACCACGGCAAGGGTGGGAGGCCAGGAGTTGGTGGAGCTGGGAAGTTCAACTTGTGGTGAAGCTGAGTTGTCGATTCGAAAGGAAAGGTCTCACAAGCTGGGAGCCTAAAATAGTTGAGGAAAGCAGTTGAGCAGTGAGCACCCATTGAGCTATAGAAAAAGACTTCGAGGAGAGGCAGAACTGCTGAACTGCTGGAAACATGAAGCAGGAGAGGCAGGCCTTGACCGAACCACCCACCCAACCCACCGATAAGGCGCGATGATGCTCGATGTATGTATAAGTTGGCTGTAAACCTCGAAGCAAAACATGTTGGGGCCCCCAACACCACCAACCACTGGGTGGGAGGCCCCACCTCCAGGCCTCCCACCTATATCAAGAAACGGCCAAAACCTACATCTCCAGTGTCTGCAGCCGTCGGTCCAAGTCTGCAGCCGTCGGTCGGTTGGAGTCGGGCTTTTCACAGCATTCGCTGTAAACAGGTGAAGGGACTCTCCGACGAGCTCCAAGCACAGATCCGACAGGCCCGCCGCCCGTGCGACGCGCACGCGCACGCGCGTCACCCGTCGCCGGGGTAGAACCGCCCCTCTTCCATCAAACCAGTGGGAAAAGCGTAAGGTGGTCTATACAAAAAGATCAGTTGGTGAAATTATGGCTGCCAGACCCAGAAACAACAAAGATCGCAGGTCACTTGATCTACTCTGATCGAATTGACCAATGGCTGACTGGCATATGACTTCCAGTGCCAAGTTGAGTTCTTCAAAGGCGATGTTACAATACCGAGTCCGGAGCCTACCCCCCATTCATGAAGAATGTGTTTCCTCCTGAGGAGACATTGGAATAGGGTGTAGGTTCAATTAGGTAGGCACATGTTTCTTGGATTGATTATACCATGATTGATTAGTATATTTAAGTGGTGTCTTATGATGAGTTACGTATGACTGCATCCTTGGAACATCCTTGGAACCCCCAAACTTGCCAGTCCGTCGGTAGGCCGATGAGGTTGGAGAAGGCAAGTGGAGGTTTGGCAAAGCTACTACTGGAGCCCACACAAACTTGAAGCCCCGAGATTTTAAGGTATACAGAAGGGACAATTTGAACCTAGATCGTGTTTGCAAGATGGTACTTTTGCAGATGGGAACAGTGAATAGAACAACATGTGTGTGTTTGTAGACGAACATATTCTGGCAAACAATGGCCCAATGGCAACAGGCCAACAGGCAAATGGCTAATGACAAGATGGAACGACAAATCGTAAAACAGCAGAGCAGGGTGTACTCATCACCAACTGTTTTTAATGCTTTGTGATATCTTCGCAAGGCTTTTCTCGAACATGTTTCTACAACATATATCAACATATACTACTGTATACTCATAATCATATATAGTATAAATATACTTAATGTCTTCTGCTCTCAGAGCAACTGGGCTTCAGTCCTGAGATGTCCTGAGTGGGTCGCCAACAGAGGTCCACCTGTTGGATGATCGACGCTGGGAATGGAAGCAAAAGCTTGAAGAGGAGCTGGCAAACAAGTGCCAAGTCTCTTGGCTGAGTCACATCATTTTTGGAGTCACTGCCCATCTCAGAGCGCTTCGTCACGTCGCTTCGTCCAATGCCCATCGAATTCGTGCGAAGTAGAACGGAGCTGGCAACCCGACGGTGTGAACGGAAGTAGAACTGGAACCGTAGCATACGAACGCGTGAAAAAGATGGTGGTTCAATGTTGTTCACGTTGATGCGAGCTCCCCGTCTTTGATGCCCCTAGTTGTCATGCCCCCTTTTCCTCAATTGCTCCCCGGCAAGTTTCCTTGAGACCATTTTAAACATGAAGGATCAAGTGAGTGATCAAGTGATGTTCTACATCTATTTAATTTAGGGATCCCAAATTGCTAGAAACATGATTGAACATCTTGGAAATCCTTATAGGTATACAAGAATTCTAAGACGTGTGTCATAGCTGTTATGATCTTATGACGACAAGTGTTTGTCAAGAAGCCAAGGGACCCTTCAAATAACTCTGAGCAGTCAGAAAGAATAGGAACAACATGACCACCCAGGCTTTGCAGCAGCAGATGCAAGCTCTTCTCTCCAGCAGTCGAACACTGTCTTTGGAGGACCCAGATTGGGTCGTAAGAGGTGAGGGCCCCCTGAGGATGCTTGGTGGTTGTGACCCCTTAGAGACATGATTGGACAATGATATGCCTGTGGGTCAAATCCATGACGAGCCCAGAGCCAGACTAGCCATCGTTGCCTTTGGATCTCTTTGGATTGTTTCAGTTTGGGATTGGAATCCAACACGTCGCCAGCTGAAGAGAAGGGACGTCGCCAGCTACCTAGAGGACTGGGCAACTCAAACTTGGGGGTCTATTGACTCAGATTTAGATGTGCGATGATGGCCTGGTCGAAATCTCCTCAGTCGGAGGAATCGGCCTTAGATAGTGGTCAAAAGTGTTTCGCGAGCTGCCCCCCATCCCACAACTCCGCCACATCCCAAGCAGCGCGGAAGAACACTCCGCGCATGTCTAGGAGGAGTCCAAGCAGCAGCGTAGCTGGAACACTGCGCGGCTTGGAAGCATTTTGAATCTGCCAGACACGTCCTTCTCCCTTTTCTCCTCTCTCCGTCGTCCTTTTGCTGTTGCCGGTCATCCTCCGATGGCCTCCCACCTAATAGCCATGGCCTCCATCCTAGTAGCTATGGCCTCCCCCTGCGTACCCAAGGCTGGAAGATGGTCTCAAGGCAGCGGCGCGCGAACGCCTGGCCATGCAAGAGGCGCCTGCCCACCCCGACAACCCATCGCTGGTGGGGTGAGAAGGGGATGGAAAGGCGAAGCTGTCCAAAGGGTTGCGGCTGTAATCCGATTGGAGAGTTCAAACCTCTGAACCATCGCTTTCTGAGATGTGAACCATTTTAAAGCAACGCCCCACCAAACCTGCAAGCAGGATCCGCAAAGGAGAAGACGTCCCACCGGTGGAGCGCGGCATGACCCCAGGAGGTGCACGAGGGCTTTGTGAATGTGTGCGAGCGTCTCGCAGCCCTGGAAGTGCAGCAGATCCAGGAGCCGTTCGTGCGAACGAAGGTCGATCTGGAGTCGCGAAATGCGTTGGATGAATGAAAGATAATCAAATCCCCCGTACCGAAAGGTTGCAGCTTTGTCCATTTTTATCTCATTGAACGAGTACCCTTCCTCAAAGAAAAGATCGGTGGAACATGATGCAATGCTGGAACATGGTTTGCGCATGGATTCTGGATGTGTGCGCATGCACGATCATGCATGTTTTTTTGCGGCTTGAAGACGAATGTTCTCGACTTCCAGTAATCAATGTTTGAGGCAGGATATGGCAAAACACAAAAACCTTGTCCATCTCCCGCGCTCCGTCGTCGCGCACCATCACTTCTGCCTTTGCCAGGAGGCCTCGCTGGAGAAGGTCACAATGGGAGCTGCGCCAAGTAACTTGCTTGTGAAGAGTTCTCACTCCTGCCCACTGGGCAGGGGTCTTCAAATGTCTTCAATATATGTGCATCATGTAAAGCCATATATTATTATATCCCCATGATTCGTAATATATCATATTTTTTGCATAGTTGGCACTCGTTCAGGTTGAGTGCCAAATTCATCGAGTCGGATTCAGAATAGTATGTTCGCATCTTCAGAGCAATTCAACTATGATCAAACGATCCAAACGACGAAGTACCAGAGAAATGACCGAACGAAGTACCATGGTATGTCGGTCGGTCGGCCGTGTATGGTTTCCCCCCCTTCGCGAGTCCAGGGGATTCAGTGGTATCTATGATGTGCGTCGGTGAGACTAGAGTAGAGGGCCTGAAGACACAGGGTCAGAAGATTTGATTCGGGCCACTTGCACACTGGTTTTGTTGTCGTATTTTTTTTGCGAAAGTAAAGACCAGTGAATTTCGGCACACTGATCAGGGCCGCAGCTGCAGACCTGGGTGGGGGGTTTTGGTTGGCAAACATCCCAGAAGGGGCCGGGAAGGGTGATCATCCCGAGAACTTGGATCCTCCGACCCCGTAGTTAGCGGAGCCTTGAGAATCAAGGGCCACCCCACCAGTAAAGCCCCTGAAAGTCTACCACCTAGCCTGGAGCTAGACGTGTGGCGTAGCAAACAGTGGAAATGAAGCCTTACTCTCCCTGGAACTAACAAGGAAGTGGAACCCCCCCTGTTTGTAGAGGAATATTGTCATCGAATCGAAGGGGCCATTTTCCATTCCATGTTAGTTCTCAGGGAGTGTATGTTAATTTTGAGAGAGGTATCCACTTACTGGTTGCGGAAGTCTGCGTGAGACGCAAGGTGATGTCATTGCTGCTCAGCTTCAAGTGGTGAGGGCGGTTGGAGATGTTGATTTTTCCCAAAACACAGATCCCCAAATGTAGATACCAACATTCCTGGTGCTTTCTTTAAAGGGACAGACATGGACAGACACCTCCCGCCGGCCCGGACACTGTTCCCGTCGTGGTTTATGTGTTATTTTCTGCGTTGAATTCAAGGACAGTTGTCTGCGTTGTTATAGAGTAGTACAACTGATTGAACATCATGGTTTCGTGCTGGACATAGAACAACAAATACAACACTTTCTGGCCGAAGTTGCAAACACCTGCAGCTTTGGAGCCATTTTCATGGCGACATAACACAAGCACCATAGCATGACTTGAAGCACATTAATGAAAACCCACAGTTCACAGAATTTGGCGTCGAGAACCCAGAGATGTAATCGATGACAACGTTATGAAGCCAATGACAATGTCGTGAAACCGATGAAAATGATGAGAGGGCCTCCCACCTTGCCACCCCATGCTCTCCCACCCGAATTAGATCATGCTCTCGTTTGGTGACACCGTTGGCAATGTTGTGTAAGCAGCGACGAGGTTATGAAACCAATTGTGACGATGTTGATGATGTGATGATGATGATGATGATGATGATGATGATGATGATGATCATGATCATGATCATGATGATCTCGAAGATCTAGAAAAAGCTACGGCTGCTTTCGGGCTGGGGACAAAAGCGTGAAGATTCAAAACCATGCCATGTGCCAATAAGCACTATATGGAGCAAACGGACTTTCTTTGTTTCAGTCCGGTGTTTGACAACCTGAGGTACCACCGGGTACCACCCCCACGCCCCTCTTGGGTTCGAATATATCAATACCTGTCGCATAAATAAATACGGTACATGAAAAAAGACAAGATAGAGTTGTTGTTGTATGTTGTTGTTATTGTTGCTGTTGTTGCTGCTGTTGCTGCTGTTGCTGCTGTTGCTGTTGTTGCTGTTGTTGCTGTTGTTGCTGTTGTTGCTGTTGTTGTTGTTGTTGGTTGTTGGTTGTTGGTTGTGGATTGTCGGTTGTCGGTTGTCGTTGTTGTTGCAACGCAATATTTTGTTTCATTCCCTGGTTTGTTTTTAGGAACAGGTGCGCACACGATACATTTTGGCCTTTGTGATGCTTCATGGTTGGATGAGGAACAATGTCCAGAAGGATGTGGTTGCAGCATGTTATCAGACAAGGATGCCATGCCACTATTCTTTTGTTGAGAAACCTATCAACTCCAAATAGTGGCTGGGACTAACAAATACAAAGGGATCGAGTTAGACGTTGGTCATTGGTGCAAGTGCGGAGGTGGCGGAAGTGACGTCGAAGCGATTGGAGGAACCTTGGCTTTCGAGCTTTGACAGGGGTCTCCAATTATTGAAGAACTCCAAAGAAGGTTTGCTTAGGTGCAGCACAGCGATGTCTTCCACGATTCCACCATTCGTTATGTTCTTTCCCTCGAAAACCTTTCTCAAGGCATTTGACAATTGCCTGTACTTGTTGGAGAAACTAGACGATGTGAGTTCCTTTGACCACTGAAACCAAGCAGAGTCCAAAGTTGAGAGCCTCTTTTGAAACGTTAAAGGATAGTTGCTCCCCGCTTCAGTGACATGGAATCCTCAGAGTCGTAGCCGGGATGTGTGTGGGCCCGTTTCAGTTTCAGCCATGAAAGCAATCTTTTGGGATTTGTCCTTTCACCAAATACGTGGTCGCGGCAGCTTGCAAACATGGTTCATCACCAAGGTAGGGACTCTGAGAATATCAGCCCTCACTTGCCATCCAAAAGCAACACCTTTGGAACTCCTGCCTGAGGATCTTGAAAAGAGATTCGAGGAAGCGCTTCAGGACTTCAAGTGTGGACATGCATGGTTTTAACGGGAGGCATTCTTGTAGTTCAGGATGTTCTGACTCTTTTTTGGGGAGTGGCCTCACTAGGGTTTGGAACCGGAACGATGCCTGGAAGACGTGGGTGCTTAAAGGCTGGTGTGACCGTTTCTGGAAACTGCATTGTGCACCACTGTGCAAGGAAATTTTGGCCATATCGATCGTCTGAATTGGGCTATTTCACAAGCCACATTCATTTTTGGAGGGGCAGGAAGGTGCACGGAAGCCAATGTCGGACTGCACAGAAGCAAGAGCCACCGGAATCAGGCCACATGAAAAGTGTTGTACAGTGCAGATTTACGTAGGAGTCATAGTCGTCTCCGTGTTCTTTGAGGCTGTTGTTGGGGGTTTTGTGGTTTGTTACATAGTTGTTGCTGTTGCTGATGCTGCTTTTCGAAAGAGAACGAACACAAAGAATCACTTCCAGGACCTACAAGGGATGGTTGATGGACACCGAAGCTCAAGGGTACTCCAGAGCCAGTCTTACATGGGGTGCCACAGACACCAGGACAACTTCGACATCCATCAGCGGCATGCGGCCCAAGAGGACATCAAAAACGACATCCGGTTTTCGCAATGGCGGTGATGCCCTGGCAACATATTGAAATCACCCTCAAGTCGCTTGAATATGAATATGTTGGGTCTGTCCTATTACCCGTAACAGTCAGTAAACAAATCATCCGCTGTTACAGGTAATAGGATAGAATATTTATCAAACCTGTCCCAGGATGGCTTATATAGGGCTTACGGCTCTTCGCCTGGTTTTCTTGGACCCACTTCTGGGCACTCTAGCAAATGCCTAGGTTCTCGAAGCAGATGCAAGGACAGAGTGTGAACTATATACTAGGATACAGCCCTGAGATGTGCTCGTTGTCCAAGGAACCTCATTTTCAATACGACAGTAACTTGACTGCGTAGGCAAGCCGACAAACTCTCAAATCTTTGACATCTGAATTCTGAATCTACGAATCGGGGCGTGGGGTGGTGCGGATGTGGCTTGTTGGTGTACGAAATCTGCCAGATCCAACGGTTTTTTGAGCGATTTGAGAGGTTGAAGAGGACCAAGCCCCTGGTTGTCTCCGCTCCACAGTGCCCACGAACTCGAAGATAGACTCTTGAGGACTTCTGTAGACTCTAGGATCTCTCTAATCGTCTTAGTCTTAAGAGGCATTAATTTAAGAAGTCCATGTATTTTTTGTACCAATCCTTCCGCATCAAGAATTCTTAAATACAGTATGTATGCGTCTGCTGACCCGCCTCCGGTCAGAATGACGAGGTCCCCGCAACTGGAGGCCTTTGGCCCAAGAGTGGACTGTGTGTGTGTGTTGCTGCAAAGCACACTTCCACTGCCATGGGGGAGATAGTTATTGCGGGAGCTGGGATTTCTGGTTTGGCTTTGGCAAGGCGATTGGATGCTTGGATGCACCAGCCGGGCTCGATGGGTCCTCGGATCCTGACATGGGCTTGTTCGTTCCATTTCCGTCCCTTTCCGCAGCGGTCGATCCTGGTTATGGTGGCGCATGTTCGCGTAGCGTAGAACAGGGGTGCCAAATCAAAGCTTCAAGTGACTGGGTTGCATCTTCAGGTCGTGGCTTTGGTCGAACTGTGAGCATGGCAGAGATCCTTTAGAAGGGATAGGTTGGAGGAATCGTGGTTGCTTAAGGGCTTCTATCAAGTCTTGAAACATTCTAGGGTTCAGGGGCTCGAAGTTTCTCCAGGGTAAAGGGGCGCAATTGTTGTCAGGTGTATAAGATATGCGTGTTCCCGTGGCACTGCCTCAGCTGAGTGTGATGCTGAGGAGTTTCTTCTGGGATGGGTTTTGGCGGCCCAGCGTTTCCGTCATTATTGAAGAAGCACTCAGAAGCACCCCCTTTGGACCCTGTGTTCCTCATTCGAGCTTCTGGATCACCAGTAGAATCTTGTTGGTCGTTGTATGCAAGTCTCTAGGTTCAGCAGATCAGACTACTCTAGAGCATACTAGCGCCAACGTCTTAAAACAGGTGCCTGTGAACAGATTCTCCACTGCAATTTTGGCAGGCTTAAGCTCAAGTTTCGCAAGGTACCTCTAAGCACAATTGCACAGCGCAGATGCACAGGTTTCCCACCCAGCGCCACCCACCTCCGCCATCCCAGATATGTGCTCGCTTGTGCTGTGCACTTGTAGCAGAAGATAATTATATATGAATTATTTAGGGGTGCAACCCCATGGCCCAGTCCACTCTCAGTTCCGATGCCCACTCGGTGTCTCCAAGGAGCAGCTGGGCTTTGAGTCCATCTGCATCTTTGAGCGAGATCAGAGCCTAAACAGCCGAGAACAAGGGTATAGTCTCACTATCCAGGAGAACTGACTAAAGGCTAGAAGCGCGTGTGCTTTGAGGGTCAGGTTTGCGGGGAAATCCAGCACTCAACAGGGAAGATAGGTAGCTCTGGGCTGGTACCCCAAAACATCTCAAATCTTATGGCTATACCAGGCACTACGTGAAAAGTTCATCAGCATCCTTCGAACTCCGGGTACTTACCTTGCCGAACCACTGCTCTTTGAATGAATGAAATGTAGCAAGCTGAAGAAGGTTGAAGGAAGGTTTGAATTAGTACGCGTCGCAAGCCGAAACATCATGTGAACCGCAAGCTCCATCACCTCACCGAGATCACAACAAACCGCGACCAAACGCCATCACTCCATACGCACGCCAGAAGAGCAAATACCAAGTACCAAAACAGGTACAAAACAGGCAGATTCCTACCAGGAACCAAAGGCACTCGACCTGTACTGTGCATGTCAACCTGGACGCAGGTGTCATAGGGGAGTTCAGCACCTTACAGTGACCCAGCCAGCAATGCTGCACTGGATCGCCCCCACATATCCAGCAGACCAGCTGCACCGGACTCTCGCTCCGACCGAGAGATTCGACCTCGCGAGGAGTCGGGGCAAAAGACGCTGCAGCAGCTGGGTCTCCTGGAGCTGGTCCCCTAGTTTTGCTCCAGGTGAATTTTTCGTTTTCCCGGGTAAATCCCCCAGAATGGGAATATGTGATGTGTTTTTCCATATTTTTCCAGGGTCCTTAAGCAAATCCAAGGTCCGGAGTTGCTCGGTGCCGGGAGGCGGAGGGCAGCTGCATGCTGCGGATGGGCGAGTGCTGTCGTCTTCCAAGGCGCCACCGCGGCGGTGGTGGCTGATGGAAACGCGGTGGCGGCGGCGGTGGTGGTGGTGGTGCAGATGGGAGTGATGCTGATGGTGATGCGGATGTTGATTTTTCGTCCGCCTGGTGGTGAGAGGGGAGAAGATGGTCGAACGAAAAAGCACATGAAAAGGAGTGGTTGGAACTAGGGGATGGGGGGAACTATGGTGAAGGTCAGGATGAGATGTGACATGGCGGTAGGCCAGTCCTGTGAGTTGTGAAGAGGGGCTTTGATTACAGTGGACATGACTGCTTTGCTATTCACATTGGTTTGCATTCTATGGGATGAGGGTAGGAGCGCTTTGGGGTTGTGGAGACGGCATTGTTTTCTTGCTTTTGGATGCTTTTGGGCAGGATCTCGTTTCCGAAAGTCCCAGAGTGAGCCCTTCACCACGACCAAGATTCGAGCTTCAACATACAGTGCGTAAGGCATGGAGAGGAACCTCAAGAAGGTTGCAAGGTGGTTTGTCAGGAGTTCATTTCAACGCGGTGTGATTCCTTTCATCATGGAGTTTCAAGTTGACTTTACAGTTTGAGCAATGTAAACACATGATTAAGGAACCTTTTCTAGTAGTTTGGTCCGACTTGTTCCTGCCTTTCAACAAACCATCTGGCCCACAATAATCCCCCCCGCGAATTAGCTTGGTCCACCTTTCTTGGATCCTTTTTTGGCACTACTACCTGCCTTTCTTTCCTTCTTCAACCCCTGAATCTGTAGTTTCTGACTCCATTTGGCTAATTAATTTGACGCCGGACTCGTGCGTCCATTGCAAAAGTTTGATCTCCAAACAAATCTCGACCACGCCTTTTATTGCTGTGCTTCAAAAGCTGCCGGTAGCTGCCAGTCTTTGACGAGCGCGTTGCCAAACCAACTCACACGAGTCGACTAATCGCTCAAGACCCGAATCGAATCTGAGAACCCCGACCAGGGGACATTTGCAGCCGCTGCTGGTCGTTAGGAACCTATGGGAGTTCCATGGTGGATCGGTGGATGTGGGACCAAAATTTGTCCGTCCTTCAGATCAGGGCCGTGGGAAAGGTGGAAAAGGCCGGAGTTCCAGAGCTCGAAAGACCAACCTCTACGTGCCCAGACAGGACAGCGGGGAAGAATTTCTGATGCAAACACTGGCACTGTGGAACATCCGCCTCCGCAGATGCTTTCGGTCCCGTGGTATGGTAGATTCTTGCTCCTAGAGATGGGTTTTACTCACGTTCTGTTGGTCCAAGATCCATGATTGTACGCATCCAGCATCCAGGCCAAGAAGCAGTCCCATGCCGGGCCCCACAGATAGAGTTGCTGGTGAAGCCTCAACAGGTGTGATGATCGTGTTGTGATCCACTATGCTTGCAACTAGACAAATAAATATGTCGTAAACGTTCAGCAACGTGGCCACCAATTGCTTGATCCGCATGACTTTGCTTGTACAAGCAAGGGTCTCATTTTATAATGTGTTGACCTCCATGTGAGCTCATTGGGAGATGAACCACACTCTTTTCTTGTCCCAACCAAAAATAGCTCTTTGTGTTTCCATAGACACCGTTTACCTCAACCTCAACATATATAATTATATATAGGTCACACTATATATATATATGTATATTCCAGAAACCAGTACCCTAAGGTTCCAACAGGTATTTATTTGATACACGTTCAGCATACCTCAATTTCAGCATGTGGGCAAATGAAGGTTCGCCCCTTTTGCGTGTCACGCCCCCCCCCCCCACTGATTCTTTTTCAAGATGGCGAGCCATGCTGGTTTGACTCATTTCTGCCGCACATTCAGTGTTTGAATGCGGTGCTTCATTGCGAACAGCCTGCCATCGAACAAACATACCACAAAGAACACGTGCCACACAACACTCGCACTCCGAACCTTAGCCTACCACATCGCAGAATCCATCTTTCACGCTGCCGATGTGCACCAGCTGCAACTCGCCTGTGAGCCTCTATTAAAAAAATGATCGAGGACTTCCAGGGAGTATATATCTAACTACTATAAAATATGTCCTCAACAATTTGTTTGACCCGTCTTCTGCACACCTTCTGCTCCCCCCCAAAAAACCGCCCGCCTCCTGAGGAGCTGCGACGGATCCTCTTCGAGTCGCTGCGGAGCACGAAGATCGCGTGGTCTCAGCAGGTCCTGGGCTACGAAGATCTCGGGGCGGAAGGATCGATCAAGGCCGGGTGGTTCTCCCGGGAGGGGAAGAAGATGGAAGGGACTGGGAGATGGATGGAGATGGGTTTTAGGGAAGGACAGGGAATATGGTTTGATGATCTTGATGTTCTATTTTTCTCCGGAAGAATGAATGAAGCAACAAAAAGGGCAAGCTCCTCAAACCTTTATTGTTTTTGTGCTGTTCATGAGTA